ACCACAGAAAGCAGGTCGCAGGCTACAGTCTTGGTGCCAGCATTGCTGCATTATACCGATCATATCCTCGCACTCAGGGGGCTTGACTTCAGGGATCTTCTCTATACCAGGCCTTTTGCCAGATGACACTTTGATTAATATTTCTGTCATAGTCAGACCTGTGGCAAGGAAAACAGAACAAATTGCTTGGAGTGTTAAATTAACTTTACAAATATATTTTATTTTGAGGTTTAACAATACAAACACAGCTTGTGCTTCAAGCACTCTCACAAGAAAAAAAAACGTTTCTTCAAAAAATGGTAGGTGAAAGGAGCTTCAGGGGAAATTTTGACTATCAACCTCAGGTGGTCAAAATAAATATTGTATGATTCAATCCTGGCAATCCTGTAATCAACTCTACTTTCTTACAATGACTTGGGTTGTATGACAAATGCAACATTACAATTTGTGTGAAAATCCGTGGAAAGTATTAAAATTAGGAACCATATTTACCTTGATACGAGCGCAGTTGAGTGAGAATTTCCCATATAATAATAGAAATGCTGCAAAGTGAGAATGGTTAGATGATTATTTCATGGCACGTCATAACTTATTGTCAAATTATCAATTTATGCACATACTGTAATGTTCTTTAAGTTATAAACTCTCACCTGTACACATCATACTTTGTTTCGGGAGGTTCAGGATTCTGGGTAAAGGTCTCTGGAGGCACATAGTTTATGTTCCCTCGAGCTGTCAGGTGTTCAATAAAATCATTCTTACCAGAGAACTTCTCCCATTTAATGAGGCCAAAATCTGAAATCTTTAAAGAGAAAATATATCCTAAAACGGCAACAACACTATGAGGTTGTATGATTTAAATTAACATATTGCAGAAAGTAACATTAACCAAGAGTATTAAAAGCTGTAACAAATGTTATACACAACCTTGTTTTAAAGAGTTAGCAAAACCACTAGCTCTCTTTCTAGTAGAGTCGCTTTTTTTTTTTTTTTTTTTTTTTTTTACCAGAAATGACTTCAGATACGGACGGTTTAAAACATGACATAGTATCTGACTCACCTTTACGTGAAGATGATCATCAAGAAGAATGTTAGATGGTTTCAAGTTTAAATGAAGGATGGGCGGTTTCATGCTGTGCAGAAAATTCATGCCCATCGTCATCTCATGGATCATTTGGAACTTCTTGGGCCACATTAGGAAATGATTGCTGAGAAGGTTATCCAAGGATCCCTTTCTCATATATTCCATCACTAAAGCAGGCGGATCTTTGCTTATTCCATAAATGGAGATTAAATAATTGAACTTCATTCTTCCAATTTTGGACATCTCTATCATGTTCCTATTGGGTCATAAAATGTCAAATAATTGATAATAAAATAATATACACTCTAAAATTGCTGGGTTGTAACCCAACTTTGGGTCAAATATGGTCAAACCCAAACGTTGTGTTAAAAATATAATTTAAAAATGTGATCCAATGGCTGGGTTTGTCCATATTTGACCCAAAGTTGGGTTAAAACAACCCATCATTTTTTATATTGTTACAATAACAATAAAAAATACAAATACAATGAGAACTACAAAAATACATATATACCATACAGTTTAATATATACATATTTAAATCTACTGTAGTTAGCTTTCAATAAAACTGTTAGTTTATAATACTTCTGTTATTAACTGCCAACTACTTACAAGTAATAGTATATCTTTTTCTACTCTCACGTGTAATTGTACCTGTAATCATCATTGGTTGTCGTCTTTAGGGCACACGTTTCCCGCCAGACTTTAAGCTTCACCTTATAGACTCGACCAAACTTGCGCTCAACCACTTTCTCCCAGTCATTTTCAAACTCGTCTTTTTTAAAATGAGTAATTCCTTCCTGGCAGCCATCTCTGAAAGAGTCCTTTACACTGGAATTATCTGTTGTCATTTTGTTTCCAAGGCTCAGGAAATGAAGACTCCGTCCTTCAACATTTCTTCTTGGCACACAGAAACCAGGTCAAGGAAATGCATATTAAACAAAAAGGACTGCTGGTTTTGGTGGGAGGTGTCAGAGCACCGATTATTAGAATAGAAATGAAACACAACCAGTTTTGAATGAGTTACACACAGGTGAGGTTATCAGATCTATGCAGGACACGTGATAACTGGATATACAGGTTTATGTTTTCACAGAAGGGATTGCCTCATCATAAGGCATGTTTGTGGTTTGTTGTTAGGGAAGAAGCGGCATTTTCTTTCATATAATTGAATTACATGTCCAAAGATATTTTATGCTCAATATATAATTAAAGGGTTTTATGATTAATTATCTGACAGATCAACACTGTTTTATCAACACAACTTAAACACACAATTTAGTGCAAAAAAAATGCATGTCACATTTTCAATATAATTACTGTTGAGCTCTGGACGTTTTCCCACTGTTCATTAATCTCTCGAGCACTGCCTCTTGAATTTCTTGGCACATTAGCAAAAACCCTATGAAGTAATTGTTATTCTAAGTCAAAGTGTGATGCAAATTAACCTTTAATGGCAGGTTTTCAAAAATAAAGAAATAATAATAATAACAGTAATTAAAAATCAAGCGGTGAGCAGCACTTTCGAACCATCTGAGGGGACGATGCCATGCCTCTTCAGCGTTCTTGTAAGGCTTCGAAGGAGAGACTTGGCATGCAGCCACTGCATCAGGCTTTGTCCTCCACTCGAAGAGACACTTCATCATTTAAAAGGTGCACAAATCCAGCCACCATGTTTCAACGTGAATACAGAATCTGTTGATTTTCTTCTTTGGTATATATTGATGGACCAGATTCACAGTCAAGAGACATGCCATAATGTTCTACTTTGAAATAATGCTATGACAGTGTCTGTAATTTTAACACAGTCTCACCCCAAATCGTCATATAACTGACGTTTTGGGACGTCTTTTGACCATACGTCAATATCCGCCTTTTTAGGGTCCCCTTAAACGTCGGTAGATGGCGATCCCGGGCCGTCATACAACTGACGCTTTACCTTTAACGTCAGTTAGGTGACGGGTTAGGTTTAGGGTTAAGTTTAGGTATGGGGTAGAGTTAGGATCCCATAACCTCATCTACCGACGTTTAAGGGGGCCCTAAAAAGGCGAATATTGACGTATGGTCAAAAGACGTCCCAAAACGTCAGTTATATGACGATTTGGGATGAGACCGGGTTGGTAATTTTCAGTGTACAGTGCGCAAAGCAATTGAAACTGTTATAAATTACCTTTTACCACTTAAGGTAATGCAATCAATAAGCTAATTACCTCATTTATTGAGGGAGTAATTACGCATTAAACAACCTCAAGTGTTTCTAACGGCCTAGTTCTGCACTTTCAAAGATTTAATATTGAAACTTGTTTCTTTCCACTTTTGTGACATATGGGCCCATTTCGATACTTTCAATTACAAGAAGCTATTATGTTTTTTTATTAAGTGATCTTCATTGACAGTAAATCTGATTCACCCCTAGGTTGTCCCAGCCTGACGGTGAGATTTACATAGAGATGCATCTCAAAGGCAATGTCTTCTTGTTACTACTTAATTGCTTCTTTTTTCATCCAACGGCGATTCCTTGAGAACGAAACACATGGAGTGAAATCCAATAAGCAGCTGAACAACATATCTAACTTTTGTGAGCGCTGGGTTAGTGACACATAACGAAAAGCGTTCATGTACATCTTTGACATCTGCACATCCTGCATTAAAGAATGGAAAATGTCAAAACAGCTTAGAAAGTAGACAGAGGTAGGATTAACAACCCAACAGAGTGTAGAGGGACAATTCACCCTCACCCTCATGTCATTCAAAACCTTTCTTCTGCAGAACACACACGCACATAAAAAAGATATTTTGAGATTTTTTTATATATGTAAATTGTTTTTTATCCATACAATGAAAGTCAAAGGAGTCCAATCCTGTGTATGACTTAACAGATGTTTATATACATTCTTCAAAATGTATTTTGAAGTGTTGTGTACTCAAGACTTGGACTCGGTCTCTTGTCATGGACTCGTGTGCATTTTGACTCGGAGTTTACTCGTACTCGAACATATTAGGACTCTGACTCATTACCGAGTCCACTCGAGTCCCATTCAAAATATGTCATGATTATTACTGCATGTTAATATTTCTTTAAATTGTTTGATTGAAACGTACAATGATTGCTGACTTTCTTGTGCGCAACTGCGCATGACTATAACGTTCGCGGCACGCAAATGCAGCAGGACCCAGGTCAGATGTGATGTGGAGCCTCTGGCTCAACTATGTATTGAAAATATCTGCCTTACACCCATAATTCAGTTTGCATATAAGAGCCACACACAATTCGTGTATATAATAATGTTATGTGAAAGAGCACTTACTGATTGTAATAATTATAATAAAATTACCTTTACACCACTATGTGGCCTTTACCATTACAGTGTACATGATTCTATGGTATATTTGGTTTACTGTTTGAGTATGGTGCCAATTTTATTGTTACCACCAAATATTTTACGTATTCTTAAAGATATCTTTAAGTTTGGTTTGAGACCCAACCTTGGGTTATCCAACCTGGTCTCGACTCGGACTCGACCCCTTTATGGTCTCGACTCGGACCCGAGTTGGCTGGTCTCGACTACAACATTGGTATTTTGTGTTAAGATGCGGTCAGATTTCAAAGGTGAGCATTCTGTTGGACAATCTGCATGAAACTGTTGCGAAATTTGTGTGGGTAAAACTTTTTCCCTCAAAAGAAATTCCCATTCACATGGATTCCCACTGAAATGAATGGATTTCGTTTGAGAAAATTTGCAGAACAAAGATGCGACTGCACTTATAATGTTTTGAAACGACATGACAGTGAGTTATGTGGATTATCCCTTTAAATAGCTGTGTGACAAAAGTATTCACTTGTATTTTTAACATCTCTATTGTAATACTCAAAGCTTGACACTATGATGCAGAATAAATGAAAATTCAGAACAGTGTTAAAAGTTTCATTAGTTTCCCAGTGCAACTAAACATAATGATGAGCAATTCAAAAACTGTCAGATAATGATTTGATTGCTCGTTGCAGATCCGGTTGGCTGGCTTGCAGTGAGCTCTGTTCTGTTAGCATTCACAACGGCCCTTGGACCAGCAGTAGACAGACCTTTGCAAACAACGTCTGTTCCCAATCCAGACAAGCAAGAGAGCCAAACACGCCAGCAAACAGCCGGCCACTGAGCTGATAATCACCACCATGGCTTCGGGGTCATCTATATTAACAAACCAAATCAGACCGACTGTTCAGCTGAAATATCTTCCCATTAGTTTGTTTTATTACTCCACCAGAACAACTCTGTAATATATACGTTACCAGCTGTTTCAGAGGCTGATGAATTGTCTGCTCCTTTCAAAACAGGGCCGAAAGAAATGCGGTTTCCTGTGCTGCTGAAGATGGCCCTCGATTCCTCTCCGAGACGTGCATTTCGATGCTGCATACACTGCTAAGATGTGAAATGGGTAACCAATAATGTCATCATCCTGAAATCTAGCCATTATACAACGCAGAAAAAAAAATCCTGAACTTCTGCATACTTTAAACTTGTTTACAGACTCAGCGAGTTATTCTGTTAGCTACGAACTGCCGACCACTTCAATTTCTGTCTTGCAGTGAGTAACAAGCAGCAGACGATCATTTATTAAGAAACTGCAGATGCTGTCATCAAAAGAGGAAGAGTAATGAAAAGTAGGACATTTTTCAAGAGAAATATTGAGACCTCTTCAACGGTGAAAAATGATCCCCAAGTTTTCATTCGTGGGGCTGGGTTGAGACTCACCCTCTCGCACTCAGAATGGTTCCTCAAGCACACACTCAGGTCACAGTGCAGGTAAGCAGTGGAGTAATTGATCATCTGGAAAAGACTGATGGTGAAGCTAGCCCTCTTTGACAGGACGCTAGGAAGCAGTCTAATGCCATGAGGTTCTGTAGGCAGCCTGAGGGAGAACAAATCAAAGAGACGCATTAGCTCTGATGGCACGCGCATTGCTAAAATAATGAACTTGACGAGTTATGCAAACAGAGGTGAAAGCATGACAATTAAATCCAGTGGATGCATTGCTGTATGTAGATTTGTGATAGTTCTATGTTAGGATATTCGTCTTATTGATGTTATTGTGAAAGAGTTCATTCATGCATTCATCAACATTTAAAAAAAAAGACCTCAAAATCAAAATGTCATAACTGGGATCAAAGTGAAATGGCAGACTTCTCTCTGGTGATGTATGCCGGACTTCTCCAATTATTTGGTCCTCATAAACCATGCCCCTTCTTGTTAATCAACTGAAAGCTCGTATTTAGATCTGCCTCCATCCGGATCCGATCAACACCCGATGTAGCTACCCTATCTCACGACCAATTTGTAAGAATTCGAGTGATTAAAAAGTGGCTAATTCGTACGACCTCACTCGTACGAATTCATACGATTTGTCTAAACCCACGTGATGGTTAGGTTTAGGGGCGGGGTCAGGGGTAGGTCATTCGTACGAATTCATACGAATTGGCCAATTCGTAAAATATGTACGATTTAGCAAACTCGTACTAATTTGTACGAGTGAGGTCATATAAATTGTTACGAATTAGCCACCTCGTAAAATTCGTACGAATTCCCGTGAGATCGGGTTGGATGTATAGAATCAAGTTCCCGCCCCTCGACGGATAAAAATAAACTTCATGCGTAAAAAAAAAAAATCGTGAACTTCAAAACTTAATTTTTTCAGTTACACATGAAGTTTACTTAATAATTTTAAGGTGACAGGTTTCCTCACTTTTTTTAATTTAAGTCAGATAATTACTTTTTACAGTGTACCTGTGTCAGTGTCTAAGATGTCAGTGTCAGTGAGAAAACACTACTTGAACTTATGTAACTTACTACAAACACCATATAGTGCAGAGGTATGCAAAATAGGAAGCCCCGGCTTGAACCTTTATCAGATGTTGATGTTCCCCAGAGCAAATTTCCAAAAATGAGTGGTTTACACACTTTTGTTATGTTTTATATACTTAAAGTGTTTTGTACATTATATTTGAGGTAATCTTACCTGCCTCCCTGATTGAGAGACAATTTTGCTAAACAAAATTACATTACTGTACTTCCAAAATATAGAATTTTGAAAGAATTTACCTCATAGATTATTGTTTTGATAAAAGGTTTAGTACAGGACTTTACTGAAAGTACACACTGTCTCTCTCTGGATATTAGTGTCAGTGTGCTATTGGCAACAGAGCTGAGACACTCACAGAAAGTGAATACTTCACACACCAGTAGAGAAACAGACATCAGCAGTTTACTGTACTGCTCTAACAACACAACTTTCAGCTCGATAATCTGTAACATGCTTCGCCCTCCCGGCGAAGCTATATTTATAGCTTCCCAAGTTAAACAGTGTGAGGGAAAGTTTCTTAGCCAGTCATTATAATGCTGTTCCCCTGTGATAAGGTGACCAGTTAAAACGCAGCTGAGTCATATAAACAGGAACTAATGCTGAAGTATTAAACCTTCACATAAAAATGAGGGAGATGGGATCCGTATAATCCAGCCATGCTCGGACCACGTAGATGATTTGGTACCATAATAAGAAATGTGGCCTGGTTCAAGGGCACCATGTGATTTGAGTTAATCTAAAATAACCTGAGAGGAGCACCTTACCTGGAAAAAATGCAGCAGGTGGTGTTGTTAAATTCATCTAGTCTGCCAGTAGGCGAGAGGCAGCAGGATTTTATCTCTAGGTTGACCTGACTGTTATTTGTTTTGAGGCTGATGACGACGCGTAGGTTTCCTAGGGCAGGGATGAGATCTCCGGGCATGATATTTCTCTCCAAGTTCAGACTCATCTCTGCTGTGTAGTTACCAGTGCCGCAGATATCATCAGAGATTTGCGCCTGACTGGAAGAAGACAATCAGACGGTCAAAATCGAATTGAGTGCGGTGAAAATTAATCACGTTGACTACAGTTTATCACCATGCTGGCATCTCTATAGATTGCATCTGTACTTGTAGAGCTAAAGTTTGTTCAGTATCTTTCCATCCACAACAACATCAGCCATATTTCTTTGTCAAATTTAAATAAAATAAATAAATTAATGAATGTAATTTTCTAAACAAACAAACAAGATAAAACTGACGCAAGTGGGACACTAAAATGTGACATGATTTTTTCATTGTGGTTGTGTTTGCCATTTTGTGTCTCATTATTCCCATTAAACAAAATAGTCCATTTAATCAGATATTTTTATTTTGTTTTTAATCAATCAACCAATCTATCTACTTATTGATCTAGCACAGCACAATTGCTAATATACTTGTTTCTGTTCCACATTAAAAGTGATTGAAGAGTTCTGATCATTACCCACTGAGAGAATCGGATGATGTAGCCGCCCTCTTCCTGTTTATTACAGGTAGGTCTGACACAAACTCAGTGGATCTCCATGAGTCACTTTCAGCAAATGGAGTGGTGACATGTGAAATATCTGCACTCCCTCCTCTGGAGGCTAATGAACCATCGGGGAGCAATTGTTTCTCTGTACTTGAGAAACTCAACTTTTCCCCAGTAACAGTAGACAGCACAGTCCGCCCAATGTGGTGTTGTACATCTATTGCGCCTAGTTTGGACATTTCATCAGATGGAAAGTTCGATTGTGTCGTTTGTGAATGCTGTTTTACTGTTGAGGAAAAATCTGTCTGGTCCTCAGTTAAAGTCAAATGCTCTTTACGAAACACATTCTGCATTTGAGAGGGAAACAAAGGAAAAGTTGTTTCATTGGATGATTCAAGGGGTGACGTGTTCAGGGCCCCTTCTGGATGTGTTGTGTGCCAACTGATGCCAGAAATTTGTCTGGATGTCATGTTCTGAGGATGCTCCTTAACATCTGATAAATTGACAAACTTGTAATGAGATGAAAGTGATTTTTTGTGGTTGTCTTCTCCACTTTTATGTACTATTGCTGGCCCAATAGACACAGAAGGTGAAGCAGAGAGGGTCAAATGTTGTTTAAACTCTGTAATCAAGTGAACATTGGGGGAAACAGATGTGTGAATTGGGTGTAAAACAATCTTGTGCAGAATTGACGTCAACAAGGTTTGATTCGTGCCTCCAACTGAACGACTGTTCTGATCATGGGGTTTCAGAGTTGTTTGTTTAACCATGTCATCTCTCTTTTTAAAGTATGACTCAATCCGAAGTACAGATTGTGTTTGCGGTGTTTGTGTGAGAAATATCTCTCCAGGGTGAGCTTCAATAAGCCGTTGGACTGATGGAATACTGCTAACTGTGTAGCTGTCGAAAAACAGCATCACAGTCCCTCTTGGGTTTTTAAGATCTTTTTGCTTGTCGTCTAACGGCAAAGCAATCTTTCCAGTTGTCAACGAGTGATTTAAAAAGACGTCCTGGCTATTACTTTTCTTAGAGATGGACAAAAGTTTTAAGAGAACTTTAGCATCTGTTGTTACAGCATTTTGGGACTTACCAAAAGGTGTTGGTAGCAGAAAGGACTTATTTTGTGGAACTGCACGAGCAAGATGGGAGATGTTGGCAAAAGACACCTGTGGTTTTAAAAATATAGTTATTGTACTTAAGGACTTTGTTGTGAATGTGTTGCTGTTAGAAAGTGGGGTGTTTGTGGTTGCATTTACTGTTTTGTGTCTGGTGGCCAGTGTACTTGAGTTCATGTTAGTCCACTTGGATATGATGAATGGGACTTTTTGTGACCCACCGTACTGTTGGTTTTGGTTTTCTATATTTGTAAATCTCTTCACAGTTGCAGACGTAACTGAGGGTGGAATGGATTCATGAGCTTGAACTGATACAAAAGGCTTTAATCTCTCTGTGGGGAAAAGATTTAATGGCTGTTGAGGGTGATGATCATTCACTTTGAAGACATGAAACACATTCTTATGCTTTGTCAAAGGTGGAAGAGTCACTGCAGTAGATAATTTAACAAACTGATTGAAGTGTTTTGAAATGTCTTTGATTCGGAGAGTGGCAAGTGAACTTTGAGTCTGTTTCATGAACATTCGCTTATTTGCTATAGTTGCTTCCTCAGCGTTAGTAAATGAGGCAGTACTAAAGGCTATCAATTCACTCAGATGAACTGGAAAATTATCCATTCGGTTACGTTTCTCTGTCACAGAGATATTTGATGTTCTGGCTTCTTTGGTACAAAGATCTGACGTTTTGAGTAGAGAAGAGTTTTGAGCGACCAAAGAAAGGTCACTTTTATTCAGGCGATGAGCGAAACTGTTTGGTGAGGTTTGGAGCGTTGGTTTAATTTGACGCTCTTTACTTGATTTGGTGTAAAAAATTGATTTGCTTTCTAGTCCATCCCTCGCTGAAACAATTCTATGCATGGAGTCAGATATCAACCGAGGGTCCACAAATTGTTTTGTCGTGTGCATTTCGCCAGCAGCTGTTTCCATGTTTGAAAAATAATTCAGCGTGGTTGCGTCTGGAATTTTAGTAGGGGTCAGCTTTGAAGCAGAGAATAAAAAGATTGAGCCTGGGTGCTTTAGTGACACCCCGAAGGGTTTTGGTCCATTGGTGTTGAGAAATTTGCTGCTTTCTGTCATTTTATTAACTATTAGTTGGCTGGTTGGTTGCCCTTGCAATGGAGTATCAAGGATCACTGAACTTGGTGAAAGTAGATTCTTCTGTTCTTTTGGCTCATGCTCAGATCCATTTTTTGGATTTTGACCAAGCACAGTGGTTAAAAGCCCTAAACCCTGCAAAACTGTAAAATGCATAATGGTCGAATGATTCTTATTTAAAGAAGCCTCTTCAGAACGATTCGGAGGACTATCAGCTCCAAATGACTCCAGAGTCCAATTTTCACTCTTGTTTTCGCCCTGTCTTTCCACACTCTCGTTTGACTCCCCAAGGTTATCAATTACTGCTGGATCAGAAGCTGATACCATGGGAATGTCATTTGTGGGTGAAGGAGTAATAGACTCCAAGACTCTTTGATTCGTGCTTTCCAGTGAAGCTTGAAAAGAAGATGAAATCTTTTCCCTGGCTCTGGATAGATGAGCAGCAGGCATCACGGTGTCATTCATCATTGACTCAAATTCAGCCTCAGCTGAGAGATGAAGCCTTCCCTCATCATTGGAGATCAATGAGTGGTCTCCTTTGGACTGAAACGACTTCACTGCAGTGCCATCCTCACCCGTGAAATGTGAACCTGTACCATAAGCCAAGACAGGCCCATTTGAGGTAATTGCATCTTTATCAGTGGTTGTAGTTGCATTTATTGTACTTGAGTGCTGCCTCTCGTGTGGTGTATGGAACAAATCTGTCCCTGGAGAACTGATTACAGGCAGAGTCAGGCGAGCAGGGCTTTCAGTGGAAACTTTTCCACTGTTGTCACTGGTGCTGTTTTGCTCTTCTGATGGCATAGTTATTATGAAGGTTGTGCTCTCGGCTTGCAGGGACTGAAAGCCTGGCAGGTCCTCCTCCTTAGCACTCACTGAAAATTAGCAGAGTTGCAATTTTGCTTGTGAGATGGCTCATAAAATTCACATGAATACCTATAGTTACTATAAAAAATTCGCAAGGCATTAAAATTATACGACCGAATACACAGAAAGATATAGATACAGTTAAAATTATTGCATGCATACGGGTGGTTCCGTAACAGTACAAACGAGTGAGTTGCAGCATTTGCCGTATCTAATGAATAATTCAGTGTTATTTATTAGACAGAAATGTGTTAAATGATTTGGGAAATTAAATGATCTCTGAATATTTGCAACATCTGGACAGGAAACCATAACCATAACAGTGTACTGAATTTAAACATTCACTTTGAATCTAATCAATAGTGCTTTTTTTGATACCTAATCGGCGGGTATAATGGGTAAGCCTTTAAAAAACTATATACTATATATAAAATTATAAATTACAAAATGTATCAATATCCCTTACTTACAGTATTTTATGATTTTTTAAAAAAAAATTTAATTGTAATTATGCATTAATGTATATATTTACACACATAAATATTATATTCATTTATTACATATTTAGTCAGACAAAAATGTAAAAATTAGTTAGGTTTGTAAACTACAGCTATATTTTTAATCTATAATATCTTTAATAAATCATGTCTCTGACATTACTGTGCTAATCACAGCAGTTATTGAAGGCAAACTTAGCGTACATACCTGTGAGTCCAAAAATGAAAAATATGTAACCAATCCCCATGCTTAATCTTCTCTCTTGGTTTCTTTTAAGCTACACATACATAACATTATAATGAAACTACATTGAGATGCACAACATAGAGCTCACACCACACTCTCTGAAGGAACCTACTGTGAGCTTTACCTTCCTCTCTTGTCATTTATAAGTAGATTAGATTACTGACACGTGAACAAAAGCAAGCTGAGAAAATGAAACGGATTTCTGCGTCAGTAGAATCCCTCATCATCCTCATCGTATTTGACTGTGTATAATTTTTCATGCGCGTGTCGGCTTGCGTGAACTGCTATGATAAGCTAGTATCCGAGTCATCCATTATTAAATAGATTCAGATGAGACTCAAATAAAGTGTAGAGCAGTGGTTCCCAACCTTTTTACAAGGAGACCTCTATTTAAACATTAAAAATGTTAACAATGAGCAAAATCATGTTAAGGTTTTAAGGAATGCAACAATGGAAATTTAAAGGTTTAGTTCACACACAAAAAAAAAATTACAATTCTTTCATAATTCACTCACCCTAATGTCGTTCCAAACCTGTAAAACTTTCGCTCATCTTCGGAACACAAAAGAAGATATTTTAATGAAATATGAGAGATTTCTGTACCTCCACTGACAGTACACACAACTACTTTGACTGTTCAAAAAGTTCATAAAGAGATTGTAAAACTAATCCATATGAATTGTTGTTCAGTCCAAATTTTTTGAAGAGACGGTAGCTTTAAATGATGAACAGATTGAATTTAGGCTTTTAATAATACTGGGAACTGGTAAAATACTATTGTTAATATTATTAAAATACTATATTATCTAAAAAATCATTAGTGATAGGCTTTCAAAAAACCATTTAGTTTGAAGTCAGTTGTCATCAACGTTGACTTCTTTTGTGTTCCACAAGATTTAGAACAACATGAGGATTAAATGATGAAAAAGCAATGAAAAAATAGCTTACAGCACATACACCATCTGAAACAAAATATACTCTGGGACAAACCTTAAGTGTCAAAGTTTCATTTTTCACAGTCTGTTTGTCAAATCCTGTTCCAAACCCTGGATTACACGGTCAGGCTCATTTCTGCTAAACCTATTTGAATTGTGACAATTTAACTTTTTTCTCAGTACATCATCAAATGCTTTCTAAAGCTATCAAGTCTGCAAAGATGAGCCGGCATTAACCATAATAATCTTCAAATGCAGTTTTATTAATCTTTTTATTCAACACATGAAAGCTAGCATTAATCCATTTATCAACAAACAGGGAACAAAATGTAATCAAGCCAACACACTTCCCAAGTAAGCCATTTGGGATGAAAGGATATTGAAACGTTTCGAATATCGTCCCGGGGCAACATGTTCTCTACAACAGCAGATAACAGAATCACATGTCAATGCGAATTCTCTCTAATTAAAATGAACACAAGAAACAGCTGTATAATCAAGAAAGGCCTTAAGGCATGACAGTAATTTGTGGCCTCACTTAAGATGAGCCAAAGGACCTAAGGACAGCATTCATCTTTATGTGTGTGTGTGCGTTTGCATGTGTGTCCTGAGTTATGGGGTCAATTATTGAGGAACCGGTGGCTCACGTGATCAATCTCGCACAGGAATGAAGGATTTCTAAACCATGAAGCTCCCTGAGTTCGTTCATGTGCCTGAAAAAAAAAAATCAAAACAGCTTTATCAAACCAACAGAATTAGTTTTTTTTTTCTCATTTTGACCACACAATGTATTCTGAACAACCAAACAAGCTATATGAAGTGCAAAGAAGAATTAAAACATCAGCCAGTTTGCTCTGCATGTAAAGTAGGTTCATCGGTTATGTTTAGTATTTTTGGCAGTGTCTGTACCCTCCACTGTTTCTGTCTAGAATGTCTTTTTTAGGCTGCACTCTGATCTCAAAGGTTTGAAATCTCACTGTAAAGACTTGTGCTCGGGGCAGCATTACCTCTGAGAAGTTGAAAGCTCATCAAAGTTGAATGCCATAAGATTCTGACTCCTCTTTGGAGGACAGTCCTTGTTAGATGCTGGCTGTGAGAATAAGACGCCTCAAAAACACTTAACTAACAGAGCTACTTTTCTCGGGTGTGAGCCTATGAACCCTTCATAAATTAAAGATGAAGGGAAAACACTCGATATTTCTTTAAGTCAATAAAAGTATAAAGGTCGGTGCAATCGGTAAATATCCAAAAGAAACTCTCTCTCTCCCATCTGTAAAAGTGCTTGTTAACAGCCGTAAAATGAGACTAGAATATAAACAAATGTCAAATACAACAAACAAACATGTTTATATCTGAATCAGTTTATGTCCTGTGGAATTTTTAATTCATTATTCATTCAGAAAGTTCATCATCTTGTTAAGGTCGATTATGAAGAGGCATTTTCTTTTCACCTTGATGTTTTCCAGCGTATCAAGAACATCAGCATGAATGTTAATCAATATAATGCATCTGACCGCAAAAGTCAAGTCAGACTTAATTATACCTGGGCTCTATTTTGCACAGCTTCCCAAGGGTGATGGCTGCGTTTTGCCGAACGGCTGCTCTTTTGGCATCACCAGCGGTGTGGCGTAGCAGCAACGGTACGCAGTCTGTACCCAGGAGACCACTGGCTGCTCCATCCACTTCTAAGCAATGCCCCATACACAAAGCTGCGTTCCCCACCACCAACTCGTCAATGCCGCCCAGGAGTTTTCTCAAAGTGTGCAGTCCTGAATGAATAAATGTTTGTAGCACACAAAGTCACCGTAAAGCCATAGAGCTTAAGACATCTTATTGAATCCAATCCTCTGCCTCCGTGGCCCTTAGTACTCACGTTTGTCAAGCTTAACCAGCTCCTCACAAGCCTGTGGGATTGAGGCAGTACAGACTGTCAGGGCTTTAATGGAGTATCTGGAGCTCATCTCTCCTCCAACCTGACCGGACACACACACAAGCGAGTTTCATTTAAATCTCTACAATTGCCATGGCAAATGTTAAAAAAAAAAAAGCTGGTCACCAGAATACAAAAATGTGTAATGGAGGCAGCCCGCAAAGTTACTCTGTATTAAGTTAACCCTGTAAAGCCTGCTATTTTAAAATATTTTTTTAAAATAAACAATTAATATTAAAATATGCATTATATTTAGGTTTTGTTCTTTCGTTATGTTCTTTGAAACATTTATATTGATCAAATTTTAAACAGGAAACTTTTTTATTTTGCTTTGTGGTTATTAAAAACTGTTTCAATGTGAGCAAAACTAATTATTTTAATTCAGTTTGGGTAATTTTGGAAATTTGGCTTTTCGGTAATGATTTACATTGCCAATTAAATGCAAGTGGCATAACCTTTACCCTCTCCAATATATTGTGTCCAATTTAATTTGAGTTTATTGCCTTAAAGACTCTATTTCAACTACTAAAACCTGATATAGGCTCCACCTTCAGAATCTTCAGCAGTTTCTTCACTATTCCCTTCCGCACAACTTCCTGAGTGGCATCAGAAGACATCGGGAGGAGAACGCTCAGCAAACCTGCAGCTCTCTGAAGCCGAAGACAAAACAATATGTTTAATACCAGACCTCCCGTCATTATGGCAGATGGGACATTTCAACAGGATAAGGCTGTACTGCGATGTATTTCAAGGTGGCTAGTCAAAAATGCAGATCAAGCTGTATCACTGCAGTAAAACTCAGTCAAATCCATAATAAACCCTTTCACCTTAAATGTACTCAGAGAAACAGCCTGACTGGAGAGATATGAAGCGCTAAGGCAGCAAAACCCAAGCAAACAACCTGGAACCTGATTTACATAGTCAGAAAAAATAGTCCCCAATAGGGCCTGGGGCTTCAACAGTAATCACTATGTAAATGCTTCCGTGAATGCAAAATCCTTCTCTTGGGGATGTTGGTCATCTAAGGACATCCATATATTTAAACTTTCATTTTTGATCTTGTAAAAGCCATGTGTGTAAGTCTAGAGATCCTCTAGAGATGTGAATGCACAGGATTCCACAACCCCCCACATCCTGCAGGATGAACATTTTAATAATTAAAGAGCAGAAATCTCCAGTTCAAACGTTCTGGCGGCTCCCATCATCAGAGGGTGGGTTGAGGCACGCTTTGGCCCTAGTAAAACGAATTCAACTCACTGTGATGATGCCTCCAGAGGAATCGCTCAGCAGGTCCAAGCACCTGCTGCTGGCCAGAACAGCGTACTCCTGTGTGTTAAAAGAGAGCCAAAAAGCATTCTCTCCAATTTTCCATTGCTGTTTCAGATATGATTGCAACATATGGAGAGAAAAGGCACTGGAAGAACATTCAGCCTAGCCAAGGCCCTTTGGCTACAAAAATGCTTGATGTTGGATGAGGCCTGGCCAAAAGCCCAGAATATTAAACTTCCTGCTTTACCTGGACAACTTGAGAGGGATTTGAGGCTAAGTTGATCATCAAACCCAGGAGGGGATAGAGGACACTTCTACATTCACAGGCGACGCACCGCTCCTGCAACCAAAACAGAGCTTTATCTTGACAGTGCCGGAAATTAAATTCATGTCCTTTTCTCAGTTTTAGCGTCTGTGGGAAATAGCGGTTTCACACCTCATGTAGCAAGATAGCAAAAGAGGCTTAAAAAACAAACCCTTGGAATCAAAATTCCCAGTGCAAGACATCATACATAATTCAGCAATGTTCAAGGACGGAGTATATGGGAGCTTGGTCGTGATGTAAAGGGTTATCATCTCCAAGATTACCATTGCTTGAAGAGAGCATCTCCAAAATTCTTTACGTCCTGCCAGATTTTTATTGATGACATTATCCAGAGCCATGGTCCCGATCACAGAAATCACAGAAGCCAGGATGTTGTAGTCAACTGTCATATTTGACTACATTGGAAAAACAGCATTAGCCAAATTTTGGACAATTTTAACTTTTTTTGGGAAAAAACATGAAATGTTTCTTGGTGAAATCAGCATATTTAAATTAGGAAAGAAGACAGTTTGATAGCATTTTAGTTTAGGGTCACATTCTCACTATTGACTAGTTGCTTATTAGCATGCATATGACTTATACTTAGTACGTATAAAGCACATATTAATGCCTTATTCTGCATGACCATATTCTACATCCCTTAATCCTTCCCAACAACTTAACAACTACCTTACTAATTGTTATTAAGCAGTAATTATGAGTTTATTGAGGCAAAAGTCGTAGTTAAAAGTGGAACTGGACCCTAAACTAAAGTGGGATTTAAAGTTTTTCAGTATAACAGGATAAGTATTATAAAGTACCTTTATAATAAGACACAAGAAACAGCTCTCACCATTCATATAATAAGTACTAATACTAATCATTTCAGTAATTGGATGTCTACATGGACAGTAATCTATGTTGTATGAAGCATATTTGCATGCTGTAGTATGGTAAAATAACTTTGTACAGCTTAAAAGCAAAACTAAATACAGTCCTTAGCATGTGGAGTCAACCTTCAGGAAAAGGGTTTTGGATGGCATAATACAGAGTCAGACGGAAGACATTTCAATGAGAGAGTCTTTGAAAAATAAGAAAAGGTTTCTTTAGTAATTATGTGACTATATGTTATAACAAGTCCTACAAGGTAATATAGTCATATGTCTTAAGTTGAAAAGCCAGCAATGTCCAATCCAGTGCCAAAATGTCTGATAAATCAGGCAATAAAGCATTAAAATATAATATTATGATTATTAAGAGGATGATTATACATGATGTTTCATAATACATTACCAGCAGATGTTCAAGAGGAAGGGCAAAAACAGCTGTGAAGATCTCCCTTGACTGAATCTTAAATCTGAAAAAGATAAACAACAAAAACAGCAAAAAAGAAATTAGAAAATAACGATATTAGCTACTTAACTAGGATAAAGCTTAACTGACTAAAATCCTCAGATAACCCTCCTGTTGTAATGTGCAAAGAGCAATGGAGGCAAAAAGATAAAAAATGCGTTATAATGTGGTGGGCACTGATCCAAGCAGATCTATGGTTTCACGTACAACACGAGACAAGACCAATATGGCTAATCACCCTTATCTCGAAACGAGAGAGCGGCTTGAATTCACTGAACACTTTTCATTGACTATCTATCAAACCGTTCTCATTTCCTTTTGTGCATGAAGTGTCTGCTTAATTCCATCTCCTGGTCACTGGGAACACCTTTCTCTATCTGTAAGGTGGTGAATGACTAGAAACGTCACTCTCTCGCAGAGATAAATGGAGGCATTCGTGAATGTGATGGATTGTTCTGTCTTAAATGTGTTCACTTTGCGTTCTCAAGGGACCTGGGCTGTTGAGCTGAATGAATTTGAATGTGCCTCGATTTAATACGTGCAAGCAACTATGATGTATGGGAATCTGCTAGACTCTCAGGTGGGTTGTGCCCAAGATTTTGTAAAAAAGAATCAGTTTGGCTGTTTCCCTCACAGGCATTCATATGGTGAGGGCGACTATATTGATTGTGCATACTTATTTACTGCAGCCAAGTCCTCCAGAACTGTCAGCGCCGTCACGGAGCTCGTATCGCGGCAAACGCAGCTCACCAGGTTCTCAGCCGTTCTACAGGAGACAGACCACATCCGTTATGGGCTCATTAAAAGCCGAAAGTACTTTAATAAAATATGCTATAACAGTAGGAGGCATTTTGCATGCTAGCTAATGAGATGAATCACAGATAGTGTAGCAACACATCATCTCCTGCTCTGGTTTGTAGAAAAAACTGGGATGAAATTGACATCAAAGTGGATTAAAATAATTAGTAAAAGCAATACATTTATGTATTTTAAACATATAATATGCACTTTTTGATATGATGAATTAATTATGCTGTTTAAATTTTCAATTAAGTGACACAAACAATTATTCTTCTAACAGAAGATAAGAAAAAAGCTTTACTTTTAAGGGATTAAAAATGTATCAGTATAAACATGGTGTCTTTAAACTAGCACCAAAATGCTCAGTAATTAATGATGTGATTTATTACTTATTAATTATGATCTCCGAGAATGTATTTTAATCTTTACATCCGATCTGAAACCATCACAGTATTTCTTAGCAGTGTGGTACGCCAATCCATTTCGTTTCACGTAATTAGTCCTGTCTAAATGGCTCATTTGACCTCATACATGTTATGTTGTAAGTAATTAATTATTGCCACATCATTTTGTAGACTGCAATGCAATACATTCAATATGACACCAAAAATACTGAACGTACTGGCATAAATCAAGGTTGTCGATGAGCACGTCCCTTCCGTGCTGAGTTTGTGAGTACAAGCTGAGCAATTCCAGGCTTTCCCTCTGTATTTCACATTCCGGTGATCCCAACATCTGGACTATGTGTTGTCTAGTAACGGGACACTCCATCAACAGCTGTTGGTTCTGCTCTGGGAGGAGCACATGAATGGAGAGGGTTTAATAAAGACAAATGCAAATTTAAATGACCAGTTAATGAGATTACCACTGAATGGGCACAAAGTATTTACTAAAGAGACTTTTAATGTGGGAGGCAATAACAATTTCACTGCTAGCAGGCAAGAACAGGATAAATTGATATTGACTTGAATTCAGACATTTCACGAATCCTCATTACTAGTACCAAGTGGTGTCAATACATTTTCCATTTTCCAGAGAGAAACCATTTAAAAGGATAAAAAAGGAATGTGCAAATGGGATTGCTATTTTTTCCCTCAGCAATAGCACCTTTCATTTTCTAGGCGTATCTTACCATTTCCACTGCATACTGTCCTCCATAGTTTGACTACGGACATGCATAGATCCACAGCATATGGATCTTTTGAATTCTGTGAGAGGCAGCTAAAAACAGAAAGGGAAAAACTGTAATGCAGTAAACACACTTCAGTCACGCACTGTAGACCAAATGGAGTTAGAGAGATTGTTCACCCAAAAAATGGATGTCCTGTTTCATTGTAAATGCATGGAAAAGAACGCCACACAAAAAAATTCATTGAAATACATCTTCTAGAGAGCTTTACACAGCTATTTTCATATGTTTAAAGTACATTCTGACCACAAACTGTCAGGTTCACTTCTTTAGCAACCTTACCTTCTTACAATGTTATTGCCATTAATGATAATGAAGCCATTGTTTAATCTGAATAATGTCTGCCCAGTACCTGTGAGGGATACCAGATAAGGTCAGTGTTAGTAGGTGTGTAGTGAGAGCCATTTATCAACACTAAATCACAGTAGTCAGCCCCAGACACACAATATGCTCCGTTCAAGGGCAAAAGAGCGAAGTAGGAGAATAAACAAAAAGCTCATCAAGAATAAGAGAGCACTGCCTTATCTACACAAAAGCAGTGTTCATTCTGGGGAAATACTAGAAATTAGTGCACAAAGACCCATTCAGGTATCTCATCTGAACAAAACATTGGCGCAAAGCTTTCAAACTTGGAGAACTTTCAAGATTATGCTTCACATTGTGCAGGCCCATATTTTACCATGCGGAATACTTCTGACACTTTAAAAAGCTTTAAATAGAGTATTTCTGTTGGAAAGGACTGGGAAGTAGGAAGTTTGATTTAAACATGCATGCAGTCCTGAAAAAAAATTATTATGGTTTCCACAAAAAAATGAAGCAGCACAACTCTTTTGAATATTGATAAAAATAAAAAAAATATTACTTGAGCACCAAATCAGCATTATAATGATTTCTGAAGGATTATGTGAGACTCAAGACTGGAGTGATGATGCTGAAAAATTCAGTTTTGCCATCACAGGAATAAATTATCTTTTAAAATTCAAATAGAAAACAGTGTAATATATGCAGCTTTGGTGAGCACAAGAGACTTCTTTCAAAAAATAATAATTTTTTAAATCTCTTCAAGAATCAACTACATAATCAAGGTAATCAATTTTTCGGAGGGGGGAGGGGGTATATATCGATATATTCACATCAATATTTTATTCTTTTGTGAGGTTTCAGTGTACTCTGTCACAATCTAAATATATGATCTGTGCAGTGCTATTTTGACAAAAAATCAGAACCGAGCAGACAAAACTGGCAGGTAATTCACACGTTCACAAATAAAGTGTAAAAAGCTTGCAAATGTGCTTGTGATTGGACTGTGTCTGTCCTCTGTGGCTGATCATGAGGATTAGTTTCCTCATCATGAACTGCAAATGAACTGCAGAGCAGAATCAATGAGCCCTCCGCACAAAATTCCTCACTACTCTCCTCTCAGTATCGATCCCGAGTGCAAGAAATATCGTCCTGGTTGCTGGAACAACACAGGGCACACCGAAGGCATATTTCAGACAAATCAGAGGTTCAACAATGCCATAAAAATGTGTTCGTCCAACTAAAAAACTGCTGGAGTTTAGTGATAAGAAACAACAGCAGCTTCAAATAAAAAAGGAATCTGAATTAATCATGTGAACTTACAATCTTTAATAGCCTGTGAGAGCAGCTCCAATCCACCACAGTAGTAAAGATGGATTTCATTGGGTCTGTCGAGTTTCTTCAGCAGTTCTGCTACTGCCATGGCCTGTCCTGTTCCCGCTTGTAACTCTTCCCAAGCCGCCTTTTCCTGGAGAGCCACCTTCTCTTCCAAATCCACTTGTCTCAGATAAGCTATTTCAATGTAATGTATTGTGACTGCTCCAAGAACATATGTCTTTTTTTGCTAATTCATGTGGAAATACTCTATTAAAATGCATAGAATGGAAATCCATAATGCCATTACTCCTCTGGAAAAGTTCAAAATGAATGTAAATGAGCAAACTAATGTTCTAAAAACTGCAGGTGTAAGCATGTGACGCTTTCTACAAGAAAGACAGACTTGTGTATAAACTACAAATGAACACAGTTTATTCTGGTACTGCTGAGAGATGCTTGACAGAAACAACATATTCAGGCAGGTGCTAAAAACTAATAACAACGGTAATCTGACTTCTGCTGCTAAAGTTTGGATCTAAAGTCCAAAATATTGACTTTGCCTTGCCTCAGATCTTCATAGCATTCTTTAATCATACCTTTGACCATAGTCTCCCGCTGTGGCTCTATCTCCAAAATTTTTTGATAGCAAATCCTGGACTGAGAGTGAAGCAATAAAAATAAAAATAAAAACAGGTGTCAAATAAGGTGAGGAAATGAAATATAAGTGTATTCCAGCTTTAGGCTTGAAAGGACAGAAAGACTTCTATTGAACAATACATACCTGTGGGAAATCCTTGAGTGCTAGGTGAGATTTCCCCATGTGTATGTATGCTTTGATACACTTATTATTGCACTGTAAATGAAATTTTTAAATTTTAATTAGCCACTTGAAAACAATAGAAGATGCATTGAAGTAATAGAGTTAGTAATGTCACATTTCTGTCCTAGACTATTATTTTATCAAAAAATAATGAAATACAAATTTATAGGTGAAAACACTGTTCTACAACACTGTTCAATAATGAACATGTTTTCCATTTCTTATAATTAAAACTCATTTTGATATATTTTAGGGGGTATCAAAAATCATGAAATATGTGAAAGAAAACCTTAATTAATTAACCTTATTATTTCTTAGGAAAAAAGAGGGAAAAACATATAAAACAAAAAAATAATAAAGTGACCCCTGTAGATCTTCATTACTGCGTGACAAGATGCGACCCTCTGAAAAACTAAAAAAGATAGTGCTGTTAAATCGATTAATTGCGATTAATCACATCTAACATAAATGTGTGTGTGTGTGCATATATATATATATATATATATATATATATATGTGCGTGTGTGTGTGTGTGTGTATACACATGCAGTTTTATATTTATAAACTTTTAATTAATTGATCAAACATCACAATTAATTGATTAACCGCAATTAATTGACTTGATGCCACTACTTTTTAATAATTATATGATAAAGATTTGTGCACACACTTTAGAATAAGAATCTATAGCTAGTTCATGCTTAACTTTCTAAAAGTTTTCCAAAAGCAAAGACTATTCGGCACAGCCCAGAAAGAACTTCAACCCAATTTTTAATGCTGAACAACTATCCAGTTCAACACAAACCCACTCTTTGGAGCCTGCAGTTTCACACCAGACAAGGTAGAATGAAAAACTCCCCGGTTCAGCTGACACTGAAAAATGAGGGGTCATTTTTCTGACCTCTTTCCAACTGATTTACTCACCCTCAGAGCCCACTCACAGTCACTTATGGCCTCCTTATATCTCTTCAACTTGATAAAGGCCTACATAATACATGAATGTGAGACAGTAAAGTCACAAGAGGAGAAGTCTCACGGGAATATCAGTTATGATACGGCTCATCTGATTATTGTAGAAGAACTTGTTCTGAAGTGTAGAAGTACCTGAGCCCTGTTTGTATAGAGAGCCTGCATGTCACGCAGCTGCTCCAAGCCTTCGGTATAAAATTTGACAGCCGTTTCGTAGTCACCTTGAGTGAAAGCCTCATTCCCCTGCTCCTTTAACGCTGCGGGTCAAACGAGGACAAAGGAAATCTCGACGTTGCAAACTGACAGTGCAAAATAGCCCCAAAACTGTACATTTCGCTCTCAGGCTTCAGTATACACACCGTTGGCTTTTTCCTCTCTCATCTTTCTTCCATGACGTCGCTCTTCGGCATCTTTCTCTAATGTCCTCAAGAAATTCTCTGATGAATCGAAGGGTACAACAAATCCGTTGCAAGATTTATAATAAAAAAACAAGAAGTGAAGATGAAGGTTAGAAAGTTTGTATTGATTTATGAATCATTTACAAGACTTCAAGGGCAGACATTCAAGTTTTATACCTGAAACCAAATTATTCAACAGAGACCAAGAAGTCTTGTCAACTGCTGAACACAGAACGGATAAAAGACTCAAATACACAAACCTAGGCCTACCTGGATTTTGATTTGATCCATTCTGGATGTTCTGAAAAGAAGGGGAGAAGTAGTAACTCTAAGTTAGTTTTGAAGAAACATGTTTTCTTCCATGTTTTTTTTTTTTTTTTCCGAGGCATGCTTTTTTTTCTCCCCCAAATATTACGTATGAATACAAAGCATGAAAGTCAATTATTATTCCCGAGTCTGTAACATGTATTGAAAATGCATTAATGTTTTTATTCACTTGTTGAGTTACATTTTTAATACAGAATGAATACTGTACCTGGGGCAAATTTTCAGATGAGGGATGTTTGTTAATAACCGTCTTATTGATTGTGGTTTTACATTGTTCCACCTCCTCCAAAGATGAAATAAATTGATCCACCTTCGCAAATGTTTTCTCTTGACACGAGATATCATTGGACTTTAACTCTTTTACCAACTCATCTGCAATCAGGTATCAACAAAATTCAATAAAATAAAATAAAAATCGAATTACATTTATTTCAAGTTATGTTAATTCCACATTTACTGAAAGAGTCCCGTCCCGTCTACACTGACTTAACATTCCGTTATAACGGAAGAGTCACGTCGCGATCTATCATCAATGAAGATGGGTTGTAAACAAACAGCACTTACCTATCTGGTCAACATTCCTCAAAAACCGTTCGATATCGTCGCTATCAGGCAAAGCCATGCTTCGAAACGAGTTCACAAAACAAAAGGAGTTTACTAAAGAGAAGTGAGGCAGTTTTGTTTACGGAAGTGTATCCGTAAGCATAGCAACAGAGCAGCCATGTGCAAATGAATAGTTTGCTCTTGCTGGACATTACGCGGTCAAAAGATATGGTACAATCTTATAGCCTATCAATTTTAACTTTGTTTTAACGAATGTTTAGAAACGTGAAAATACCACCATTTCCCCTGTAGCCTACAACGACTACCACGCACTCATTCTGTCAGAAAATGTTGAAATATTGTATACAGATAGCCTATAAAGCACTACTTTATCTTTTGGGGGCAGATCAAGGTGCTCCACCAATTCGTGAGCTATGTATAATGCAACAACTGAGATGTAATTAAAAAAATATGCACACTTACACAGATATGTTGTATTGTGCCTTTATTTTTCTGGTTGTTACATTAAAGCATATTTTATTGATCCCAGAGGGACATTCAGTCACAAAATAGCAGCTGTAATATATGTAGATAGCACAATTATGTGCATACAGAGTACAATGGCAATGCATAATTTGGTAAAGATTGTGACGCTGCATTCTGAGACATCTGAGAAGTGCAAACGGGCTATCTTATACATTTTATAGTAAACAGAACAAGGTTTAATTGTTGCAGCTCTAAACTTTCATCATTGCAATTCTGCCCTGAGCATTTTGCAAAGTTAAATCCATTTTAAATTCAAAGCTTATTATTTTGCTATATAGCTACATGCTACATATGCGTGTCTTTCTTTCTATCTAACATTGGTCTCATCTGGTGGGTCATGAGTCATGACCTCTGTAAAAAATAGGTCATGACCCTAAAATTATTTGCAGGTCTGTTTTGATATGGTCACGGACAGTGGGGAATTGAACCTTCTAAACACAGATAAATTGAATGGAAAAAAATTCATATAATTGTGTATGGTCCGTTTTGACATCATTTCCAGAGTTATTAAAGTCATACATTTTAAGGTATACTGTCCTGGCATTAAAAAAAAAAATTCTGCAAAGTTGTATTTTAACATTTGATTACACCATTACTTAAATTTGACATCTATCTTTTGTCTTTTTTTCTGACTGCCGTGATTAACACTAATCTATTTTTTTATTTTTTAGATAGGCGTGGAAACACCATCATGGTTGTTTTCTTCTGCAGTTGGAAATTTAGCTATTATAACTATAGATATACTATAAATATATAGCTATATATTTAATATTTGTTAAAAAAAATCATTTAAATTCAGTTTAAACTGTTTTTCCCTGTATTTTTCCTGTTTATTTTTTCTGAATCTACATTTATTTCTGAATTTCTTCATAAAAATGTCATGATGATATTCTCATTCAAATATCCCTCTCTCAATTTTTCACCATTGCTCCTCTGGTTATCATCAAAGTTTGTGTGTCCAAACAAACTTTATGGTAATTTGGTGCAAATTTGCATCTTTTGGAGATGCTAGTCAGATTAGGTAGATGCCAACAATGTTAAATTGTGTAACATTGTCAAGTTGTTGGACCTATGGTAATATTAACCATTTCAATGTTTGATTTTCAGATCATTTTTTAGTTAAGGCAAGTTTTTCAGTCACAGCTTGCTAGCTGTGTTTGGTCATCATTAGATGGTCCTGAAGCAAAACTAGGTGCTCGAACTTGGTGCAAGGGCTGTGTACTGTCCAAGACGATAAGGCCGAGAGATGTCCTGCAGTATATAACATGCCTTTGAAAGCTGGATTTACTGCTGCCAGAAAGACAGTGCTGTTCAAAGTTAAAATGTCAGTTCATGTTGGAGCGGCATCTTGGCTGTCTGGGCCGTCACTGACTGACGGGTCGGTGTTGAAGTGGTTGATCTCCAGGCTCTTAGGAGACTCTTTCAGGAGACTCTCGACCTGGCGGAACACTGAAGCCTCTCTGTATTTGTGCAAATGCCCCAAAACCTCCTGCCCAGAAAACAGCACACATTCAAGATTAGTCCTATCCAATGGCATCTGCTACATCCCAGTGAATTACTTTGCAACAGCTACTGAGAAAGTAAGGGGCGAATATGGCAAAATAAATCAAACTTACATCCTCTGTGAAAATCCCAGGACTTGGCTTCTGCACTCTTTCCAGCAGAAGACCATCGAGAGCTGCATCTGACGTCAAATCTTTTGCCTTCTCGTCATCTGGACTATGAGTTTGTCCCAGTCTGGCATGGAACAGCTCACTTAGGCCCACCTGTAAAACCTGGAAATGGGAACAGGACATGAGGTCATTATCACATTCCTTCTTGTCTTGTTCAAGCTGCGCTGGTGTATACGGCACCTTGAAAAAGGCCCTTTGGAAGGCAGGATCGGAGTCTGTTCTCATCTGACTGGTGGAAATGTGTGCAGCACAGTGCATGAGCAGCAGAGAAAGGCCACCCACCGACTGCAACCTCAGACGGCGAACAAACAGAGTCCTCTCTCCCTCCTGAAGACACAAGAAGTGCTAAGTGCACAGGGGTTTGTACGATAGAGCTCTAAGTGTGCTTAACATGAATAAATTATAGCTCACTTGGTGACTGACAAATAAGGGCATTTAACCTTACGGCAACCAAACTAGCTGGGAAACCAATTATATCACATGGAAAGTGCTGCTAATTCTCACTTCTCAAAGTGTTTTATATTATTAATAAATTTCCATATGTTCTACATTTCCCCGGTTCAATATCTACATGCATAATTTTAGAAATACCTGATAATAGAAAGAGTTGCGGAAGGCATTGTTATTATAGTTGTTGAAAGGAAGACTAGAAGCCAGTTGAAGTGTTACTGCTGGTATCTAGAATGAAGAAATCAAAGCTGTGAACAAATATTTTTTTAGGCTATTTACATGAAACCACTGCACAATCATTCAAAGGTTTCACAAAAGTAACACTAAAGACATTTATAATGTTACAAAAGTTTCAAATAAATGCTGTTCTTTTAAACTTTCTATTAATCAATTAATTGAAAAAAATCAGCATATTCGTATTTCTGAAGGATCATGATTGACGACTGCAGTATTGAAAATTCGAGATGGCCCTCACTGCAGAACACGAAATCCAAGGGGAGGAGTTGGACCCAGATCTAACTCCTCCGATCTTAAATATACCTAAACCTATCCATTACATATACCTCCCCTTAGATCTACTGTAGATCCAACTCCGCCCCCTCGATCTCAAGTACTTCAGCTTTGCCATCACATTTTAAAATATATTCAAATACAAAATTTGTAATAATAGTTCACAATATTATTTATGTCTCAGTGGGCATAAAGCCTTAGTGGGGTGGTGATGGCGCAGTGGATAAGACACATGCATTAGGTGTGAGAGACCTGGGTTCGAATCCACTGTGAGACACCAATGTGTCCCTGAGCAAGACACTTAACCCCTAGTTGCTCCAGAGGCATGCAACCTCTGACATATATAGCAATTGTATGTCGCTTTGGATAAAATCGTCAGATAAATGTAAATGCATACTAGGCTACATTAAAAAAGACTCTCATTAATTATTATTTTGATAATCGCCAAAAAAACATTCGTAAAATGTCATAACTAACCATGTGGTGAAATTTTCTACCTGAACAAATCAAAGATAAGCTGCATGTGCAACCTAACAACGTTAAAATACCTAAAGTCACTAGAAACATACTTAAACACACATACTTTAAAAGCAAGTGAGAGAAAGACAGACCATTTTATATAAATGAAGGTGCTGGAGGAGAAACTGTCCATGCTGGAAGAGCAGAAGCTCTCGTGGGTTGAGTATTTCAGAGCTCACTAGAATCAGCTCTCCTTCGCACTCCCACTGGGCATCCATGAAATCCATGAACGACCGACCTGCACCTGAATGCACACACCATTCAATGTGTCACACGTTGATCACTCTGCATCTTTGAAAACTTTAACACAAAATAAAGTTGTAAATTAATCACATTCTCACATCCCTTTAACCTTTAAGAAGATGCTAAAATAAAGCTCAAATTATATTTCGACTGACATGTTGATGATTCTCATGGCTTTAAGTCATCTGTTGCTACACTAATGACTTTGCATGTTTCAGTGGTGATAATTAGAGCCTGACCCAAGGGCTGGATCTTCAGCAGGCCTCTATCTCTGGCACTATCCCTGAGCTGCTGCTCCACTTCCTTCATCAGATGGAACAGAGGAGAGAGCGCTACTAGTCTGGACCACTCTTCCCCTGCAACACCGTAACACAAATACAGAACAGTCAAATAATTACTTTTTGTTTCGCAAGTCACTTTAATATTCTGGACACTACATGACTTGACTCTTCTATTCAGTGTTTAGGATTTTTTTTTTTTGGCCATTTTATTGACTGCTTTTTCACTTTTATCGCAGCTACTTTCAATATGAAAACAAAAAATGAATAAAAAAAAAGATACATGAATTGCCATAGTGTTCCATTTTTGTAGACAAAGTATGATACAATTTTCAGTGATAAAACCCACTCCAACAAAAACAGTTCTGTTAATACTACACCACTATTTGAGGTATAATTCATATCTATAGAATAAATTGCAGTGGTGTGGTGGTACTAAAGCACAGAGATAACCAGATCTGACTTTAATCGGTCTCAACTTAGAGACCAAGACTCTTTTCAGGAGCATTTGGACTCGGTCTGGAAGTGAGCTGGTCTCAACTAGTCATAGAAAAAATGGTCTTTGACTCGGACTTGAGTCTGAGTCTGTTCTTTTCCGGACTTGAATACTATAACACTAACAGTTTGTGCAGTTATGTGTTGAAGTTTAATACTTAGGGTTAGGGATGTGAACAAACTTCTTGACAATATAAGTATTAAGTATGGTTTATACGCTAATAGCCTCAATAACTGCTTGGGTCATGTGTTAAAGCAATGTAATAAATCACGTTTTTTTCTTCACTGTTCTCCTCTTGTTAACTTGGCTTCAAGGTCAAGGAAACTTTTATTGAACACAAACAAAGTGCTCCAGTAAAACCCTCTGACCTGCTAGCTTTGGGATACTGATGTACGCGGACAGACCAGGTTCCTGGAGAGATTGGACATCTGAATGAAATGAGAGAGAACATCATGTCGCGATCTGAAATGAGGATGCCGGTAACATCTCTGACTTAAGAAAACCTCACCCTGGCTGCGGTTTAGATGTGTTTTTTCCTGTTTTTTCTGAGTGTAAGATGGGTTTGACAGAGAAAGAGAAGGCACCGTGGCATTCTGTTCACTCGCAGGCGGAGTCTTCATTTGATCTTTAAGGGATTGAGTCGAGACACCTGGCGTAGCAAAAGACACGAACACAGCGGTGAAATTCGACAGTCTTGACAACCAGAATCTTGCTATTTATTCTGTGTATTTAAATATACCTTTCATAACAGACACAGATTCGGTCCATGCTCTGGAAACGCTTTCCCGGCCAAACGCCTGTTTCCCTTTTGAGATAGTTTTCACAACTGAGACAAAAACATGATTAACTTTTCTAAAATTAGGCATAAATGAGGATATTGTACCAGAGCTCTGTTGTGGCTGTGCGCTGGTAGACTGGCCAAGTGCTTTGTTTTCCTCCAACAGCTGAATAAGTCGTTCAAGCCGAGGAACGATTTTCTGCTGAGTCATGGCAATTACTTTCAGAGGGTTCCTGACACCCTTAGGCTTCAGCACACCAAAATCTTTAAACCAGAATGTACCAGACACCAAAGACTGGAGGAAGAGAATCAATTTAGTAGACTGTCAAGGGAAAAAATGGAATGAAGTCTCATTTTCACTATTTGGAGTTTGGATTTAAATTGTTAAATGAGCAAACAAGTCTATGATTGGATCATTATTGCAGTGTTTATTATGTCTCTAGAATGTTGTATGTTTGGCAACAGTTCTTCTAACCATAATTGATGGAGTTTGTTGCTGTTCATTTCTTAAACAACCATGTAGGAAGACACATCATGGCCATATTTCCAGGATGACAATGTCGAGACTCATCATGCACAAATTGTGAAAGAATGATTGACAGGAAGAATGAAGAATCATTTTCACACATGAATTGGTACCTCTGAGTCCAGACCTTAAATTCATGGAAAGTCTTTGGGATGTGCTGGAGTAGACTTAGAGTTGACTCTCGCATACACAAGACCTTGAACAAAAACCGATGCAACTCTTGATGAAAATACCATCACAACATTTATTTCTATTAAGAGGTGCATCCATTTTTGGTCAATATTTTTCTTTCTTCCGAACCATTCCTTCACAATTTGAGCCTGATGAAGCTTGACATTATCGACCTGGAATATGGCCATGATGTCTCTTCCTACATGGTGGTTTAAGAAATGAAAAGCAACACAATCCATCAATTAGGGTTTAGGAGAACTGTTGCCAAAAATATACATGCTAGATCCAATCACAGACTCTTAAACATTTTGTACTTTTTTTGTATATACAAGGATAAATCAAGGACATCGCTACACAATTATCGGTCAGTGCCACGAGCAAGCATTACACATCTAGCCTCTGGCACGTGTTACCTGCGCGATGTCAGCACGCAGCTGGCAGACCAGACGAGCACTGTGGAGAGACGAAAGCACAGCGTCCAGCTCTGCTTGTCTCTGCATTAATTGCTCCCACAGTTCCTGCTCCCTCAGTTTCTCACCCTGTGATGATCACGAGATATTGAGTTATATAACCTAGAGCAGACTCCATTAAACTGGAAAATAGACAGTGCAAAGCAAGAGTATTGACAATCACACCAATAGTCACATGAAGGATATTATCCTTCCAATGTATTGATCTGCTCATTCAACTGTTTAACAATGTAGTAATGAGCTCAGCAGATTTGTATTTTTCTGTTTGAGGGTGAGAGTTTCAGTTTGAAAACAAGCTGACCAGATGCTGCATTTCCTGGACTGATGGCTGATCCCGGTCCATCCTCAATCTCTCCATGGACACACTCACACGGTTTAGCACGTCTTTAAGCGCGGTGTGCCAGTAACACTGCTGTTCCCACTCTTCCTCGTCTCCTTAAAGGAAGAGTTTGCACAGAGATTAAGCTTTTTATGAAACAAAGCTGTTTTATGAAATGAAAATTGAGGGAAATATGGTTTTCCAAAAAATGACAGTAACATCTAGCCAATAAACTCTCAAGGCAATTTGTAACTTTTTAACATTTGGTAACACTTTATTTTGATAGTCCACTTTAGACATTCAAATAACTATAAGTAACTTTGCCACTACATGTCAACTACTATCATTAGAGTATTAGTAGACTGTCAGCTTAATATCTGCTAACACATTATTTTGTTGGTCCCCCAACAGACATTCAACTGACTGTAAGTAACTTAGCAACTACAAGTCAACTTGTTCTCCTAACCTGAACCCTAACACCTAACCCTAACCTAACAGTCTACTGACAGTCTACTACAGCCTACTAATACTCAAATGACACTTGGTTGACATGTAGTTGAAAAGTTACTTATAATTAGTAGACTGTTTAAAGTGACTATCAAAATAAAGTGTAACCTAACATTTTGGCAAACTGGTGACTTTTTCAATTCTTCTGAAGTCATATGATATAGCTTTATGTGAGGAACATTCTTAAAGTTATGTTACTCATTGATATTTTTCTCTTCCAGTGAGTCATTCACTCGAGAACCGCTGCAAACAGATCACTGAATCAGTGGGTTGACCTCAAAAACTGAATAAGTAAAGGAATTGTTATTTTGAACTGATTTGTGATCCTGATCCTTGTTCAATACTGGGACTGAACATTTTTTTTACAACTGATTAACATATTATTGATTTGCTCATGAATCAGAGTTCGACACACTGGTTAAATGATTAGATTCTACCTGCTTACTGGTTATCTGTGAATATGATTATGATTATCTGTGAATAATTAGCTAAATCTGGGTCTGCTCCTCAAACAAATATACTTTATTGTATGACTTCAGAGGAATTGGAATATAGTGCACATGGAGTTTAGACAAATTAGGGGGGGATTTGATTTGAGCACCCATAGTCACTTTGACCAGTAAAGACCTGTGTGAAGACGATTCTTTACAATTATTACTTTTTTCCCTCTTAAGTAAGACAGACATACAGTAGCCTATTAGGGAAACAAGAAGGTGAGTAAATAAAAAGAGAACTGTCCTAGACTGTATCATACACTACCTTCAAAACTTTGGGGTTATTACGTTTAAAAAAAAAAAAAAAAGAAATTAATACATTTAGCAATTATGCTTTAAATTTTGCATTGAATTTTTTTTTCAAAGTTCCACTAAATACATTTATGTTATGTTTTATATATAAAAAAATCTATTTCAAATAAATAATTTTCAGCTATTTATTTTTAAGTACTAAGAAATGTTTCTTGAGCACCAAATCAGCATTAGAATGACTTCTGAAGGATCATGTGACAGACAATGAAGACTGGAGTAAAGATGCTGAAAATTCAGTTTTGCAATCACAGAAATAAATTCCATTTTAAAGTAAAATAAAATTGAAAATAGTTGTTTTAAATTGTATTTAACAATATTACTGTTTTACTGTATTTTTAATCAAATAAATTCAGTCTTGGTGAGCATAAGAGATTTATTATGCTAAAAAAAAAAAAGACATTTACCGACCAAGAATCATGAATGCTATTTTTTAAATCTTTTAAAGCATAACCGTTTGCGATCACATGAGCGTGAGGACTGACCTCCTGTGAGAGCATGTAACACATGGGCTGGTAGAAGCAGAGATAACTCTGAGTTCTGGAGAGCTTTTCTCTGGGCCTCACACTGAGCCCTTTCCTGAACTTCAGCTGCAATCTCCCTTAGCCTTTCCCTTTGCTGCCTGTCGGTGTCCATCCAGTCTATCTGTTTCACACACACACGAACATGCGCAGCATCTCATTTAGGATGCAAGGATGGTGGAAACGCTTTCTATCACTCTGACACTCACAGAAATAAAAACAGACACTTGGTCAAAAGACTTGCATTTTAAATAGGCCACAGAGTGAAGCGCCATCTCAGTGGAGTCAACTCACACAGTCAGGTTCGTGCATGGATGTGGACAGATAGTGTTTAATGGCTCTCTCAAAATCTCGAACCAACTCTTCTTCCTTCAGTGTCTGTTCACGCCAGTAATTGCCCCGTGCGCTGCTCTCCTTCTGGAGGGTTTCCACCTGAGGCAAAAAAAAATACATTTTGCAAACATATAAACACCCCCAAGCCAAATGAGCTTAAATGTGGCTGTGATTTAGTTCGACTTCGCACACCATTACACTGTCTGGGTTTTCTCCTAAAGTCAGAATCTGGGACACAGTTACAGGAATTACAGTCCGCTTCCAAACATCCAGATTGGCTCCAACAACTGGAGCCAGCACCCCTGTCACTGGGTCCACCGTCTGTGATCCAAAACGTATGGGCACCATCCCTGAGAGTCGTAATAGGTTAACACCTAGGGATTAATGTAACAGGATTTAAACATTCCTAGTAACCTCCATTACCTTTTCCATCTGCATCCTCCATGGTTCCTGCCAGAGGCACCATGCATCCAGAAACCCAGTCCAACTGAGCTCCGAGAACTGGGACATGCAAACCCGAGCCTCCAGGGTCAGGATACTCCAACCCGGCTAGAGCTGGCAAGGAGAGCTCAATGCCAGGCAGCTTGATCTCCCCTTAAAGAGCACAAGCAGCAAGGGGGCAAAGTTAAACATTTTTAATAAATGCAGTAGAATTTCTGCTTTAATCAGATTAGTGTAAATGTTGAGCATACAAATAAAATACCAAAAAATAAATAAAATACAAAAATAATAAAAAGTTTAAATAAAAGGTTCAGCTTTTCTATCACAGTATAAATTACATTTTAAAATATATTAAAATAGAAAACGTTATCTATTTTACTGCATTTTTTATCAAATCATTTCTGCCTTGATATATATTAAGACTTTTGAATGGTATAGTCTCTCTCATAATATTATTAACACTTCTTTACATAACTTTAAGTTATTGACAGTTATTAAACACGACTGTAATCATAAAAGATCATTCTGAAAGCTCTTGCCCTGTTTGAATGAGATCCATCCCATATTAAATGACCCTCCACTAAGCTTGGTTTAACCCTTGGTTAAGAATGAACTGGAGATGTCTGTGAGCAGCATGGTTTTCAGTAAAATTTGCTCATAAAGTGGTAAAAATCCATTATTACATGGACTGGAATACATTTTGACATAGAAAAGTATTTTTATTTGCCATTTTACTTGTTTCTGAAATTGTTCAGTTATGCATCAACTTGATTTAAAACTCCAAAGACTCTAAATCAGAATGAAGGCACACACTCAGAGTCAACAGATAAGAAAAAAATTAGAGATTAAGACAGATTGCATTAGAATAAAGGAAGTTACAAATATTTATAACATTAAATCTTGGTACTCTGAAGTTACTTACTTACATAACATTTTTGGATAATTTCCACTAAATCTGTGAAGTAAAAAATAGTCAGATGCTTATCTACAACTGTGCAGCAGCGCAGGGTAAATCGATCATGATTTGGAAAGTATCAACAGTAACCATTTGGCAGAATGGAACATTTTTGTACTGACCTAATATTAATTTTGTACAGATGTTTTGTAGTAAACAGCTCCTACCCACCCACAGTACCACCATTCTCCGCCACACCCCTGGCCTGTTCCTGGACGGCTTCCAGTCGACTCAGCAGCTGCAACATACAATGTTGGCTGCTTTTCCAGGCCTGTTCCAGCTCAGATGTTCCTGCCGAGAGTCTATCGAGGTCACCTTGTAGATCTGCGGCTGTTGAGCTCCACTCATCACAGCAACCTTGCATGAGCTCTGCCACCCGCAAGCAGGCGCCCAGAGCCTGGCTGTCCAACAGAGCCTGGAAACCCCCAGCATGAGGCACCACCTTCCCTCCTCGCACGCTGCCTCCACCAACCCGCACCATCCGGCCGCTCAAGGGCTCAATGAAGGACTCGCACAGGAGAAGCCCCCCAACTGGAAGTACAGCCCCTGAACAGACACAATCATCAATCAGGCTGTTCAAATGTGGCTGTAAAAAAGAATTTTTCAACATACAAAAAACGGACCTGTGAGGGGATCAAGACTGACCCCCGTGATGAGCACCAGGTTGCCCGTACGTGGGTCCAGCATAGGAGAGCCAATCTGAATGGGCAGCCGCAGGCGCAAAATGGGGCACGTGTGCACGCCGCCCAAAGGATAAACCAGTCCTGTTTGTGGATGGATGGTGACTGCAAGAATAGGCACCAGAACACCAGTGTCATAGTCACACATGGGTCCTCCAAACACCAGCCTTTGGCCTGAACGGAGCCCCCGTAGTTTGGAAGCAGCATGGATTTCAGCATGCCGGGATGGAGGGTAAGGAATGAAAGGCAGCAGGGGTGATTCCCATTTTCCCACCTCACCTAAGAGAAAACCATGTTAAGTGCCTCACCGTAAACTTGATTTAGCAAAACGCTGTAAAAAAAAGTTTTATTCAGACTACTGTAAACATTAAAGTTACAAAAAAACTTTTATAATATATAAATAATATATAAATAACTAAATAATATTATAAATATTAAATACTAAATAGTATTATAAATAAAAAAAAAATTACAATTAATAAACATTACAACCAATGAAAAACATATTTTAAATGTTATATTTATACTACTTCCTTACCATTTTTCTTCATTGCCATAACAACATAACACCTAAAATGACCATAAAATTACAAGAACAACTCTACAGTACAGCTAATAGCCAATAGACATATATACTTAAAAAAACAGTAATAAGCTTAAATAATAATAATAATAATAAGCTTCACATTTTTTGCTTTTATGCCTCCTATTTACTTTCAAGTGCTTTGCAGTCAGTTTCACCTCAATTTTAGTTTATTTAAAGTAAACAAGTCTTCTCTCTCTCTTTTTTGGTAATTAAGTGCTGCTGACTGTGCTTAACTTGTACTGAACACAGAATATTTATATAAACATAATAACTAGCATGTTAAGTGGCTCACCCACACAAGCATCGGCTGTAAAGACAAGGGTGGAGGAAGCAGGATCAAAGCCCACATTTCCCGCCACAGGCAGTAGTTTGCCTGTCTGGGGGTGCAGGAAGAAGTCTGGGGGCACTGGCATGCTGTGCCCACTGGCCAGTAACATGTGGGCATTCGAGTTGGGTTGAATGAGGCCTGTGAGGGGGTCTATATGAACAGTATCACAAGCCCTAACAGATCCATCAGGAGCTGTGAAGGGAAAAGGAGTGCAATCTTAATCAGTCATGCCACACACATGCCAAATTGAGCCTCAGAGGATATTTGTCAGGATTTGACCATCCAAACGTGTGCTATGTTGTAAAATACTTCCACCTAGTGGTGTAGCTGACTATTTTCTGTTAGAATTCCACTAGGGGGCGTGATTGCACAGTCACTGACTGAAAGCATTCTCACCATATACAATATATTCTCGCACAAACGTTTTAAATAGTTCTTACAAATGGCGTCTTCCCTACTGAGGACCGATCCAGTAGCAGGGCATAACAGCTGTGCTCCAGTGCCTTCTTTAAGCACAACCCAGGCTCCCAGCCTCTGGCTCTCCACTGATACCATCTCAGTCATCTCATCAGCCAGCACAGCTACTCGCTCCAGAACACTGCAGTGCACAACATATACCCAAGGAAACGGATGAAGAAAGATTCTAAGGAAGTAATAGAAGTATTATTTCAAATATTGTATTCAGTTGTTTAAACACACACACTACTATAGTAAAACTATTGTAACATTAAGCAACCAAAAATTAAATGAAAATACCATAAAGAGGCTTCTTACTTCTAAAAGTATATAACATATGTTATAATTAATTTTCTTAAATAGTAAAATCAACTAAAGATTATTTTATTATAATATGCAAAAACTAAGGTTAAGGAATGCCAACAGACAGGGATGAGAGGATTTGGGCTTTGAAGTGCCTATGTGATATGCACTGTGAAAACATGGAGGTGCTGAGGGAATTGAATGGTTGTGGACAGACACTGGTTTTGTGGTGGCCTGGCAGTTTCATGCAGTTCATGGATTCAAGGACGCCTTGCTGCTGTCTCTGATGCTTATGTTATCTGATGTGCCTCATGAGTTCAACACTGAGGTCATAGACATGAACTGAGGCTAAATGTCTACACTGTAAAAAATATTGTTGGTTTAACTTAAAAAATTAAGTAACCTGGTTTCCTTAAAATTTTAAGTTGATTGAACTGGAAACTATACAATGAAGGAGATTGATTGAATAATCAGAAACTCAAAATAATGAGTTATCTGAACTAAATAAATTATTTAAGTTGATTTGACAAAAGAAAAAATGTTGTGATAACAAATCTTGAAAATAGAACTTTTTTACGGTAGTTTCCAGTCCTCTCTATCTTCAATAAAACCTACTTTCTTTTAACTCTCTTCATATCATGATAACATATAAATCTTACTACAGCCAGGCATATATATAGACAGCGTATTCTAAAATACAGGTCCAATATCATCAAAGTACAGATCTGAAAAACGATCTGACGATTTTAATAAAACCGAAAAGCATTTATGAACCACATTTTTGTTTGAAGCGTTTTTTTTTTTTATCAAGCAGAGATAAAACCAGACAGATAAATATGCCTCTCCATGACATACTGTTGCTTGATGTGTTTATCCCAGAGCGAGGTCTGACTCTCAGCCAGCAGTCTTAGAAGCCTGGCACTCTCCCTGACTCGCCCTCTGAAGGTCTTCTGCATGTCCTGCTGCGCTCTCATCTCCTCCCGCAGGATCTGCAGCTGACTGTCCAGTAGCTGTGTCAGCTGATTCCCCAGTGCTCTTCGTCGCACCATCTCCTGCTCCACCTGTCTCTCCAACCCTTCAGTTTTCCCTCCAAACATTCTCCAGCCAGGGTGGAGCTCTCTCAACTTCCCCAGCACCCCCTGGTAGAGCTGCTTCACCTAGACAGGGTGCACGTTTCCTTCAATGAAACAAGCTTGGAACGCTATACTTTACAACTCATTTTACAACTTTACCCAGACACTTTTCGCCCCAGGGCAGTAACAATTCACTTCTCTATCCTAACATAGTATCACAGTGAAACAAGAGAGACTGTTAATTGCAACCGAGAATATCGGTGGTGCTATTCAAAATATGTTATAAATATGTTTGAACTTTACGAGGGTGATATTTGAAGCTCTGAGGGGTGGGAATTAAGACTTGTTCTCATGGAGTCTCACCTCTCCTCTGAGCTGTCCGAGGCGTACTGTGACAGACACGCTGTGCTTGAGCAGGATGTCGTAGAAGGTGCTGGAACTGAAGGCTTCAAGATCCACTTGTTCTTCATAGTCCCAGAACTCATTCGGCACCAGAGCCACCGCTGTGGGCAATGCGAGCACAATCTGTGGGAATTCTAACTCTGGACGGAGCCGATATAATACCATAGGAAAGCCACCTGTGTCACGCCCAATTATTGCTTTGAGAGCAAAGAGTAATCTTTGGTAACTGTGTACGATGCTGTCAAAGACTTTTAGTGTTTGTCAAACAGAGATGTAGTCCTGCCAAAACAGCAAGGATATCCTAAAAACGTGACATCAGTGTAAAAAGAGTCAGTTTACTACTGGCGTCACAAATGTAGCCTGATCTTAAGCAGATAAAGAATCTTGTCAATGGATGTTCAAATGCTACTTGGAGCAAATAAAAGAGCTTTTGACATCTTGGTGTAATTGCTTTCTCCTTTATTGTGAAGCATAAGGGGATTATATGTCTTGTAATACTCAAAAATTGCAATGAAATATACAATTGTTTATTTTCTAACATGGAATCTATAGGAAAACTTTCGTTAATATAACATTTCCTTTTTTCTGGTTGTTGGACACCCATTACAAATGCATTTTTTTATTTCTAAATTCTAAATACAACAATTGTATATTTTGTAATATAACATTAATATAAAATGTGTTATTACCTGCTACCAAATCGCATGGTTGTAAAAAAAAAATGTACGTAGAATTCATCTAATAATAATACACATATTTTTAATTTAATCCGAAAATTTCAAATCTATGTTTGGGTAACATTTCACAATGAGATTTTAAACTAGGCTACTAATCAAAAGTATGGGGTCAGTAAGAATTTTTTTTTAATTAACACTTTGCGAATGCATTATATTGATCGAAAATTACAGTATACATAGTGTTACAAAAATTAGATTTCAAATAAATGCTGTTCTTTTTTTACATTTTATATTAATAAAAGAATCCTGTTTTTTTGTTAAAAAGTGAAGCCGCACTACTGTTTTTAACACTGATAATAATAAGAAATGTTTCTTGAGCAGCAAATTAGCATATTAAAATGATTTCTGAAGGATCACGTGACACCAAAGACATTTTAAAATATTTAAAATAGTATTTTTTTATCATATAAATGGAACCTTGGTGAGCATGAGACTTCTTTCAAAACATTTTTTTAAATCTGTAGTTTACTTTATGTAAAATGAACAATAACCTAGAGTTCAGTTCATTATTGTAGTATATATATATATATATATATATATATATATACGTATATTGGCAGTGCATGAGGCATTATAGACAAGGATCTCAGGCTCAGTGGTGATAGAGGTGACACGTGACAGGTCTATTTGTGTGAGAGAATGTGGCATGAGTAGCCCCTGGTAGAACTAAAAAAAGGTTTACTTGTGTCTATAGTAGGTTACCTCTCTGCACTGAATCCTCTGTCAACCCGACCTGCAGGTTTCGGTGTGTTTTTTTCACAGCCACCACCCTGGAGCCCTTCGATGAATAGTCATCCATGTTGTACCTGAGCTGCAGATGACGGTATCTGGCCTGAGCAGGCAGTTTCTCAGGCCAGCCGTACTCCCTGAAAAGGATCTGTGAGGACACAGTGCCCAGTCACTTCAATACATCAAGATTTGTTAACCCCAAAGTTTTTGTTTAAGCCCCCGTTATCACTTACCAATATTGTCACGCACAAGCACAAGATCACCACAGCTCCAACTAAAAGACCACCAATCATCAGCCAATCGGGGCGGAGCAACAGTTGGCGCCTCTGCGCGATGCCCATGCGAGTCAAATGATGTGGGTCAGATGGGAAGAAGGTTCCAGTGTCATAACATTCTCCACCTGCAGGCACTACCCTCACATACTGAAAGGACCAGACAACAACATCTTCCAATAAATACGCATGGAGGTTGATTTATTTTATTACAACCAAGGCTTGACATTTAAAAAATGTTAGCCCGTCAGCTACAGTGGCTAGTGGTTTTCCAAAGTTACTAACCCCTCAGCATTTTCACTGGCCACAATTTTATCATCGATATTATGGGGAACAACTGCCGAATAGATTTTTTTTATAGTATCTCATAATTTGGCAGCAGGTATGGGTGCTGTCACTTTAAGACCTGACGCACGGATAATTGTTATTGCACATGTGTTTTCTTTCTCAGCATAACTGACTGCGTTTACGTGAATACCTCTATGGTGAATACTTGCCAAGACAGGCCTTTTTTAGACATTATTTTGTGTGTATTTGATTGTTTAAGTGCTGAGGCAGCTCTATGTGCATGCACTTAGGGTGTGTGAGCACAAAATAAGTAAAATTATGCGCAATAGAAGAGCCCGTCTACAGAGAGCCTTGGCACTTCATATTAGCCCCATTGTGTCATCTTGGTTGCAGTTCCATTAGAATTCCACTGGAGGTGATCATGAGTGAGTGGAGACTGAATGTGAGTATATGGAGCTAGACAGCTAAAAATATGTATCTCTTTCTCCTGCTTGTCGTTGAATCAATGTAGATTTTATTGTTGATTCCACAAGTTCAATATAGATTATAGGCCAAAAGTCAAAGGAATGAGTACTTATGTCCTTTCGATTTCTTACTGGTTGGGCTGTTGTTGGCCGGAACACGCTAGCATTCTGCTAGACGGATTTGCGACTGATTTTGACCAGAGATCCTGTTTGATGGCACGTAGCTAAAGCTGAATCAGAAACATTATATCTTAAGGAGGACTTTCTGTGGAAGTACATTTTTGTGTATTGTATTTATATTTTCCTGCGGGCACTTATTTTCATATCGTTATATAAGTGCTGAACTGAATTGTAAAGCAGCTCCTCAGGCAGTATGAAAATATGTGACATCATCACATTTTTTGAATGGATTTGTAGAACAGATAAGTAAACCTAAAAATGCAATTTTCAGATTTGCCATCAAAGGAATAAAATATATTCCTTTGAACAAATTGTGATGCCTATTTCACTTGTAGCATTTAAAACAATTGATTTTGGCATTTTATTTTTAAAGTTATTTAGAGTGAATAGTTATAGTGAATGGTTATCGGCCACCACATAAAAAACAGATCACAATACCATGTGCCTATGTTGGTGGCTGCTGAGTTTGAAGGCGTACACCCCAGGATCATGTAGACTCAGGGAGAAAAAGGAGTGTGCAGATCTTGCCAGTTCTTGGTCCTGAGCCAGTAGTCTGAAGGGTCCCCAGTCAAACGCAGCATTAGTGTTGTACAAGCTGTCTCTGTGAAAAAAAGCAAGATTCCCTCTGTGACAATCTGGGACAGTGAAAATTAATGGGCAGCACATGAATCACATGTCAGCATGTACTTACACATCATACTGTGGGTAGTGCTGCTGGGTCACAGTAAAGAGAAGAATATCCCCAGGATGTAGACATGCTGTTGGGTTCAAGACTCCTCCAGGCCGCATGTCGGATGTACCGAACGCTGATGATTTGCTGGACCAGTGAGAGTCCCAATCTTCCTCTTTGTCTTTGATGTTTCCTAACAAAACAAATCTCATTAGATGTCCAATACGGTATCTGGAATATATACAGTTTATACATATTGATGTATTAGATACCTCTTTCTGTATCTAGTGGCTCAAAATGGCTGTTGGTTTCCTGGCTGTGGGCCAGAATCAACCTCCGGACCTCGATGGGGACAGCATTGAGCAGACCAAAGAAGCCCGCCTCTGTACAACAGCAAACAAACAGCAGGTTGCTGATAAACCGTTGTCATGTAACCCTCTGTACTTCCTGCCCTTGTCTCTGGCCACTCACCCCCTGTTTGCACCGTATACACAGGCCTGGAGAAATTGAGCTGCACATTGCATTCCAAGCTCCCACGGGAGTCCCAGTGCTTCAGGACGATCTCCAGCATGCTTCCCGACATGCTCACCTTTTAAGAAAACACAAGGATAGTTTAATGGCAAATAGGTCAGAGTGTTAACTTACCGCTGTTTGTGCTGAGCTCTCACTTGTGTATTTAGGGCTGTATTACACTCTCAATGTCCTGTGCAAGTCCCTCACATTGTGTACTTTGTTAAAGTTATCCAGTCATACTGTGTTTCCTTCCTTTTTTTGCTGTTAATCATCCTATGGATTATGATACTCGAATGAATAAAAAAAACTAGATCAACTTTTCCCTTGTTGTTGAGGATTATTATATTATGTCATATTATACAGTGAAAGTACTTTTGATGTTTCCATTATGTTACTCTTTTTTTTTCTTCTAAAAATGGAAATATTTACAATGTTTTTAGTATTAATAATTATTACATTTATATTTCAAATTATGTTACTTATTTATTGTTTTTATCAGAAGCAATGTACAAAGTAACTTTTTGCTCTACTTTTTTTTTGCATATGTTTATACCTACGCTAAATCATGACCAATTCGTACGAATTCGTACGAGTGATTCAAAAGTGGCTAATTCGTACTAATTCATACGACCTCACTCGTACGAATTTGTACGATTTGTCTAAACCCACGTGACGGTTATGTTTAAGGGCGGGGTCAGGGGTAGGTCATTCGTAAGAATTCATACGAATTGGCTAATTCGTAAAATATGAACGATTTAGCAAAATCGTACTAATTCATACGAGTGAGGTCGTACGAATTGTTACGAATTAGCCACCTCGTAAAATTTGTACGAATTCCCGTGAGATCGGGTTGGTTTATACCCAGACACAGCAGTGTTGTAAAAGTCACCATCAAATCAAAATGAGCAATTCTTAATTTTTTACAGAATGTGTGTTGTTTATTATAAATGAGTTATCAATGCACAACATTATTTAGAATGAATTTTAGTACTATCTTTATCGTTGTAGTTATAGTCATTGGTGTGAACAGGCCTTTACCCCCCCAGACTAGACATTACTATCATGTTTTGGGCCTCCTTACTAACACCAAATCACGATATTGATGACCTGACCTGTTGATTAGACTCTGTGTAGAGCAGGTAAAGGCTTCCAGTGCAAACCAGCTGCAGAACTGGACTCGGGGTGTTCCGGCACCAGCCCACACACTCGACCCTGTCTGGCTCAGGTCTGGACAGACCTCTGCACACACACAGGCCCAGAGAGCCATCGTAGCCCTCATACAGCTCAGGAGATGGACACACCTGCAAGCAGGAACAAAATTTGACCTACTGATCAACGGGGTCATTGGGCTGCAAGAGTCTAAGGGTGAGTCACTCGTCACATTCAGAGGTACAGTACACGTGAGGCCCCTTATGTGCATAGTAAGAGTTCACGGAAGGTATTTAACTTTAAAGGGCAACTGGTCAACCATTCAACACTAAGAAAACATCCCATATTGGATGGCCTTCATGAACAAAATAAGAATGTCGCACCATTCATAAAATTTTCAATGCTGATGATGACCGAATAAGCATATATGTCAAACAGCATGATTGTAGTTCAAATTTCTCAGTTTATGTGGACGCTCACCTGCTGTGAGCAATACTGCTTCCATTGCTTGTGGTCCAGACATTCTCCATGCTGGTTACGTGTTCTTCCATCCTTGCAGATCTCATAGACCTTCAACAGACAGGCTTCTCCTTTCTGTGTGTATCCTAAACTACAAGGACACTGTCCGTCACTTGCCTATATTCAGGATTGGGAAGATGTCAGCAGTTAGACACAACAAATCCTGACTATTTCCCTGGGCTAGTACTGTAACTGATGAAAAGATCATTCATCAGTCAGTGAGAGTGGTAACTAGATTCCCACTGGGCTGAAACATGAGCTTCTGTCTGAGCAGAGGTCTGCAGATTGTTTTTTACATGGACGCAATTAGCTAATGCTTGGGAACTTATGTAAACGATGCAATAAGTTCTTACCTGGAAGATTTGACCCTCTTGCTGACAGGTACAGCTGTCCTGTCCTGGCAGAGGCTGCTGTGACCATGGCCCACAAGGCTGGCAACTGCTCATGCCTTCTCTAGGTCCATAGTGATGTGGTGGGCAGCTGATACAGCTGTTTATGGTTGTGGCCCAGAAACTTGGTCCAAATGTTCCTTTGGGACATGGAACTGGATCTCCCTCCGGGCAGTAAAAGCCTTCACAGTGCATACAAATTGAAGGTTCTCCAACCAATAATCTTGGTTTCTCCTACACCAAACTCTTACATTTCATATTTAAGGTTTTTTTCAGCTATGTAAATTGGACCCAGTGGACTTCTACACAGTAAAAAATATTTTCAAGATTTCAACATTGTTTCTTTTGTCAAATCAACTTAAATAATTGATTTAGTTCAGATAACATATCGTTTTGAGTTTCTGATGGTTAAATTAATCTCCTTCATTGCATTAACTCACTTTTTCTAGTTCAATGAACTTAAAATTTTAAGGCAACCCAGGTTACTTACTTTTTTAAGTTAAACCAACAATATTTTTTTTACAGTGTAGACAATGAGTTTTTTACTAGTTTAATTTGTCTTCTGACATTGTCAACCATGGTGGAATAATATGTAAAATAATTTGGGATAAAATTACTTTTTTTTCTTGATTCCCATAGTTTCACATAATTACAGCCTGGTTGGAAATGGCTTACCAAAAGAAATATTGTGTTAAAAGGTGATATTTAACTTGATTTTCTTCATACGGTACATGTATTTCATCTCGGTGAACAAGTAAACAAAAATTTTTGGGAAAAAAATGCATTTATGGTGGAAATAAAGCCACAACTGAGGCTTTTTCCCATAATTTTAACAATAAATATTGAAATGGTTTATAATTATTTCACTATTTTAAATCATCGTAATTCCAGTAATAATTTTTATAATTAATTTTTACAGTTTAACATTGAAAGATTGGGTTTAGAACAAGGATACAATATTAATAATAACAATAATAAAACATATACATAAATAGTATTTAAAAAGTAGCCAAAACACATTGATCAAGACAGTTAATGTGATGTTCATTCAAATAAATAAATAACCTCTGGGACTACTACTAGACACCCATTTGATGAACTTTCACCTCATCATGTCCCAGAAAAGTGCAAGTTACCTGGTTTGCAGGAAGATCTTTCCGGAAGTCTTAGAGTAATGTTTGATCCATCAGCAGGGCTCAGTCTTAGGTTGAAGAACCAGCAAAGTACAGAAGGCCAGCAGAGACAAACCTTGAAAGAGAACATCATTTCATTATGCTGTCCAGGGCTCAGAGACAGCCCGGAGGCATACAGGAAGCTCTTTCCCTGCCACGCTAAATGATTCATGAACCGTCTAGAGATAAAGTATCACACATGCCAATAGGTAGAAAGATGCAACCTGATGCTACCAGTTTAGATTACAGGCCGGGCCACAGTGTCACTATGAAACTGATTAATTTTGGCAGTGCTTTAAATGTCTTTCAGCAATCATTTACAAGTTGCAAGTTTATGAGAAAAATCCAAGTCCCATCAGACAGTTTCTACTAGTGTACACTTTCTCAAATAGTTTGGCAGGAGAAGTGAACATTGCAGGCACTCTGTATTCAAACAAGCAATGGGTCACTAAAACAACAAACCTTGTTTTTCACATTACTTGCATTCATTCCTTTGATGCACCCCATAGGCGAGAAGGCCATGGTCAGCCTAGTAAACCAATTGCTTTATCTGGGTTAAAGTTGAATCTGCAGGATCAGAGCCCTATCTCACAACACAAAGGTGAATTAACGAAGGTGGAAAAAAAAAACACTTACATAAGCTAAAATTGTTACAATCGTTAAACTGTGCAACTGAATAAAATATGTAAACAGATCATAAAATTGTATGAAATTTAGAAAGCATGAATGTGAACAGATTACACACATGCTATAATTTTTATTTTTTATAGTGCTTCAAAATCAATGAACTTGGACCCTAAATTAGGCTACTTAGCAGAGTTTGTGTGGACTTTGACCTCATGGTGACTTTATACTTTAACATTTCACACACTTTTAGACGCAAGTATGAACTCAAATGACAAAGTAGTTTGTGTTACAATTGCAAAATGGGTAACACTTTAGAATACGGTTCCTTCGTTAATGAATAACTACACAAGAACTAATGAGTAACACAATATTAACAATCTAGTAACTATTAATAACTAACAAGAAACTCTGATTAACGAACTAGTAAGTAATAGCGCACAGACGAAAGTGGTAGTTCACTATTAAGTAATCAATAACTACTATTTTTTTAATACTTCCCAGAGAACTACTGAAAAAGTTTATTAACAATCTAGTAACTACTATTAACTAAAATAAATTCTTATTAACGAATTAGTAAGTAATAGCTCACAGATGAAAGTGTTACTAGATACTTCTGTGGGAATTACTAATTATTTGGATTCGTATTATAAAGTGAAGATCATTGGAACTAACTACTAATTACTCAAGTGTTACTGAAGACATTTTCTAAAAGTATACTAAAGCTCACCAAAAATCTCAAACGTTTGCACAAATCATGACTAGATCATGTAGTAACACTTGAGTAATTACTAGTTAGTTCCAATGATCTTCACTTTATAATACGGATCCAAATAATTAGTAGCTCACACATGAAAGTGTTACTAGATACTTCTGTGGGAATTACTAATTATTTGGATCCGTATTATAAAGTGAAGATTATTGGAACTAACTAGTAATTACTCAAGTGTTACTACATGATCTAGTCATGATTTGTGCAACCGTTTGAGATTTTTGGTGAACTTTAGTATACTTTTAGAAAATGTCTTTAGTAACACTTGAGTAATTTCTAGTTAGTTCCAATGATCTTCACTTTATAATACGAATCCAAATAATTAGTAACTCGCACAGAAGTATCTAGTAACACTTTCATCTGTGAGCTATTACTTACTAATTCGTTTATAAGAATTTATTTTAGTTAATAGTAGTTACTAGATTGTTAATAAACTTTTTCAGTAGTTCTCTGGGAAGTATTAAAAAAATAGTAGTTATTGATTACTTAATAGTGAACTACCACTTTCGTCTGTGCGCTATTACTTACTAGTTCATTAATCAGAGTTTCGTGTTAGTTAATAATAGTTACTAGATTGTTAAAGTCCCCGTGAAATCAAAATTGAACCCATTTACTTTGTTAGCGCATAGTCTTGTGGTGAACAATTAATCCGTGCAAGTAAAAATATATTTAAAAAATGTTTTACCTTGGTAATCTTTAATCAAAATCTGAAAAGTTACTTCCGGTCTGGAACGGTTTCTTTTTCTGATGACGTAGGTTTCACAGTTTGGGTGGGGAAACGCTTAACACTCCCCTTCAAACCGTTAGTTTACTATGAGCGAGAGATGGAGAGGAGGAGCGCTAGAGTAAAACCCTGCCCTCTGTTCAATATTCCGTTTCACTTGGAAATACGTCACAGCACTGGAGAAAAATCGTTTGGAACTTCCGGTTCACGGGGACTTTAATATTGTGTTACTCATTAGTTCTTGTGTAGTTATTCATTAACGAAGGAACCGTATTCTAAAGTGTTACCGCAAAATGTAATAAAGACATTCAAATTACGTTTATTTAGTAAGCCTAACTGATACCCAATTCCACAAAACACCCTTTTGCAATTTTTTATTGCACATTTGATGTACTCTTATCCTGCAAGAAACCTTGCAATATCGTGTTTCCAAACATGGAGAGTTGTCCTGCAATGCAATTCCTTCATTAGAATCTATATAATGACTGGATAGCTCATGACTTTCTAAACTGCCGCCATGCAGTGAAGCCACCCAAAGTGTTAGAGTGGCCATCTTACTATTCCCTACCAGAAGAGGGCTCCAATGGCCGTCGCACAGACATCGGTATCTTCCACGGCACTTTTAACTTAAGATGACCCGCTGTGCAGCATACAAGTGTAAAACGACTTTCACAAAATTACATAGAAAAACAGCTGCGAGAAAGTAGGCCAGGTGTAAACTGAAATAATCAAATGTTCAAAGTATCCCGCTATTGGCTTTGTTTATCACTAGCTTTGGCCATGTAGACTCAAAGCAAATCTAACAGGATCCATTCAGTAAAGTAAAAACAAACAGCACCTTTGTTCATAGAGTCAGAGATAATTAAGCAAGCAGAGGCTGAAGGGCTCATTCTCTGTGACATACTTTATGTCATTTCTGTGTGGAAAGCCAAGTAGGACTCAACACGACTGATAAAACTAAGCCAAATTTCATGCAGTTCAGTTCACTGTGTGAACTTCACAGGCAACATATTAAGTCCTGGGACAGAGAGTATCAAGTATGAAGTCCATATCGTAAAACTAAGCCAACTTTCAATGCTCAGTTCACTGAGTGAATTTCAGGCAACATAAGTCCTAGGATAGCCCATATCGTAATATTATGCTCTTTTGTAACTATTGGTCATTTATTAAGTTTTCAACCCTGTTCACCAAGTAAGACCTGACCAAACACTTCTGGTTAGTAGTAAACATATCCCAGTATTGACCTCGAAAATGACGTCAAAATTGGCCTTGGTGTGACATCACTACTCTGAATCTGCGTTGTTGGAAAAGAGTAGCTTTGAAGAGGCGATCAGCAAAATCCCTATATGTTCCTGACGCCTATCGTTATCAAACTGACCCTCCACGTGGTTTGTGTTGACACAGGTGAAAAGCACGACAACATCTGATAAGGAACTGCTTTAAATGAGGACTCAGTGGAAGAATTTCGCATTTTTTGTCTTCAACAGGTAAGGGCCAGATGTCTACTTGCATAGATTAATAATAATGGCATTTGAGTTGTCCTGTTTAATATGTTGATATCCAATAACATTTAAATAAATGTATCTGATTGCATAATTATTTTTTTTTTACAGAGAATAACCTTCATTAGTAAAAAAAGTAAGAAAAGAAAATGAATCTGCAGTTTGTTACATTGGCTTTGGCTTTTGCTACCACAACAGGTTTGTTGCCTCTCCAATTTCTATTTTTCGAATTCAGTTTTAATCTAAAATGGTTATTTTGATCTTTTATTACATTGACCTAATGCAACTTTCCTCATTTTTAGCATTTCCACTCAACGATGAGGTCAGTCAAGAAGCATTTAGTTTAAAGAGAGAAAATCAGGCCACTGAAAAAAAAAATGTTGGCAAAGACTCAAAGTAAGTTTACTCTCATAAGATATTTTGTTTACTTTCATTTATTAAAAACAGAATTTGGGGCAGGGACATATAGTCAAAAAGCCTGGTCTAAAATTTTAAAAAGTCTTAATAAAAATGATTATTTCATAAAATACAGTTTTCATGCCTCCCCTCACCAAAAAATAACTAAAATAAATGTAATAATTATATTTATAAGAATTATTATTTAAAACATGCTTTTTACATTGAAACATTAAAAAAAAACATTTTTCAAAGTAATTATTAAGATGTGTACTCTCATATGTTTTTATGGTGTAAGGAATATATATATATATATATATATATATATATATATATATATATAGATTATGTTTTAATTTTATTAACATGAATACAAAGAGTTCTTTATCTTTGAGGCTCTTGTAAGTCATTGACCCCTGATACTGTTTTGCAGTGGTATGTGGAAGAACCATGTAGTAAGCAGTGACCTTTACACCCAGGACTCTTACAACCCCATGGCAGCTGAACTGAGACACAAGCTGAGCATGGAGTCTGAGCGGCTGAGGGCTCGTCTAAAGCAGGAGCTTGCTGAGTTGAGGGAGAGACTCTCTCCTTACCCCAGCCACCCAAAACACACCATGGCCAGTGTCAAGGAGTTCCTGGCTCCCTTCACTAAGCAGCTCCAGACCGCCCTCCAGTCGAATACTCAGGAACTCTGTGAGAAACTCAATCTGAACCTCCAGGAACTGAACCCAGAGGAAGTCACACTCTACCAGGAGGCAGTGCAGAGGATCACACAAGCTCTGGATGAAAGCCACCAGAAAAGGACGGCGGCCTTTGAGGACTTTAAGACAAAAGCGTTTGAGGCGGTAGAGGAGGAAAGAGACAGCAGTGGAAAGGAACTTTGGGAGGAAGTCACTGCCAGACTGGGACAGGAATTGTGTACCTTCAGTTTAGAGGTACAAGGGAAGGTGGCAGCACTGAAGATAGCCTTGGCGGGCCATCTTGCCTCACCACAGCCTCCAAGGGATGTGATGGCATCAAAAGTGGATCAGTTCTGCCAGAATTCCTCAGCTCGGAATCAACAGTTTATTTCTAACTTAGACCTACAGATGATAGCTCTCCAAGAAAACCAGAGTCATGGTGAGTCATCTGGTTTCCATCAGACAAACCTAGACTCCATACAGGAGGATTTCTCCACTAGACTCACAGCCCTGTTACAAGACATCGTACACACTCTCAACTAAACACACCTCCAGTCCTATCAGAAATACAACTGTAATTGTAAATAACTGCTCTTATGTTTGGATTGTACATTGTAACTTTTGTAGAACAATATTGTTGTTTGTACAGATTTAAAAAATAACTTTATATTATGTACTGCGCATTCTATTGAAGTGAAAGACAGAATATAATGCCTTTATTCCTTTTATTAAAGATATGTTGTGTAATGTGTGGATATACTGTTTCATAAACAGACATGTAAATAAAACAAATTGTACAAATTTGAAATGAATGTTGTTCATTGATTATTGCATCAACTACAGTATATTAATACAATTATTCCTCACATCTAGACAATTGTTATATATGATATTAAATTATAGAGAAGCAGCAAGTCATTGGCTAATACAGGGGTTTTCAAACTGGTTCGGGCCCGCAAAGGGTTCTGTAGAAAATTTGAGGAATTATACACAAAGAAACTGTAAAAAAGAAAACTATTTAACAAAAATAGTTTTTTTAGGGCTGTCTTATGTATAAAATATGTATAAATATTTAACACAAAATATTAAAAAGTGCTTTACAAACAAATCTGAATTTAGTTGAAAAAATTTCTTGTTATTAATTTCATACATCTAAATATAGGTAGGTAGAAAACTTTACAAATATTTCCACATAATATTTTAATAATTGATTTACTTTTAATATGCAAATTAAAAGTCAATTATTTAATTCAGAAAACAACATTTCATTCAATTTAAACAGGTCTTTAAACATGACAAAATAGCTGCCTTTATTTTTTAGGACGAGGGTCCTTCAAAATGTTTGAAAACCCCTGGGTTATTTACAAGCAATGTGTATAAGAAGCAAAATTTGATCAAAACATTAGAAAACGATTACATCCAGTTCAATAATACAGTATACACTAGGCTATAACTCAGGCAATGAACATTTAAAACACATGAGACAATGCAGTATTTGCATTTACATTAAACAATTAAGCATTCGCATTTTCTTCCAAGCACTTGGTGACCGGTCTACACAGTTCTGTCTAAATAGATTAAAATATGCTAAATACGCATTATGGAAAGTGGTTCTTTGCTGGTTTGTGCAGATGCCTTGATGTGATCAGACGTCTTATCGGGCATATCAAATTAAGCTTCATTCAATGCAAAACAGATGGCGAGTTGATGGATCTCTTAGTGGAAAGCCCGAGGCAGACCACTGGCCCAGAAAAACTTCTTCAGCACAAACCATCCAGCCATAACCATCAACACAGCACCGCCGGTGGCAAAAATGACCCCCACCACCACTCCAGCCACGTTCATATTGTCCTTTTTCAATGGCTCACTGCCTCCTGATTCACAACAGAAAACAACCTGTGCTGTGACTGTCTAGCTTTTATTCATTTATAAGCACTTTAATCTAAATTTCAGACACATCAAAGTGTGATATTTCAAAGCATTCTCACCCTAGGCTGTCATATAGTGATGCTTTTGACATTTTGTCTAAATTCAACGCACATGGCACCCTTTAGCGTAAATATAACACACTTCGGTTATGGGTAGGTTTACGTCTGGGGTAGTTTTAGGGTTAGCTCCTTCTGGCCTATATCTATCTGCGTCTCAAATTAAGGCTAAAGGGTGCCATGTGCATTGGATGTAGACGAAATGTCAAAAGCGTCAGTATATGACGCCTTGGGATGAGACCGGGCTGAATATTTTGATTGAAATAAAGTTTTCAAAAAGAGTTTCATACCATAGGCCGATGCAGTGGGAACATCATTTTCTACAGGATAAAAAAGAAACAGTTATGCATGGCTCTCATTTGGAATTCAGTGTGTTTGACGACAAGCTGGGTTTCAGATCGATTTCATTCTGGATTCATGTGTGATCGTGACTGACTCACTCAGGGCTGTGGTGTACAGAGGACCCACAGACACCGTGGCAGATTCTCTGGCTTGGGATCCGTATGGTTCTTGGGCCCTTCGCCGTCGTGTTCTATTAGAGTTGCAAGACTGCAAATAAAGTGACATGTTAAATGGCAGACATTGCCAGTATGGTACTCTATTCAATAAATTCTATTCAAATAGTATAAAAGTCTCCTACATTAACTAATTCTTGGCACTTGTTTGGCTCACAAAGTCGCAGTATACAGTGCAGGTATATAGAAGACTTTTCTTGATTACGGTGCTCCACGAAACGGAAGGCTTCAAATGAAAATCGTGAAAACTTGGAAAGCCCATTATAAAGCACCGTTGTCGGATTCTCTACAACACATCTGTGATGAAAAAATAGAGAGACATTGATGTAGTCGCACTGGTGTGAGGGCGGGGCAACCTGTCACTCACATGACATCACAGCAATAGCAAACAACAACCAACGATCCAATCAATTCAATCAAGTCCCGCCCTACATTTTTTCTTCTTATTTGGGAAACCATTTCATTATATAATGTCACAATAGGGAAGAAAAGATGATAGCAACTAAAGTAGTTAACTGATGTTAACAAATGGAACCTTATTATAAAGTGTTACCATGAAATTAGGAGTAACTCACCCTGTGAAAAAGTTGTACTGGTTGGTGTTGGTGTGATTATAGGGAGATGGGGTTGCAAAACAGTGGTCCAACAATAGATTAAAACTAAATAAAGGCAGAAAATGATTTTTTATTCCTCAATAAAGCCCTTGAGAAACATGCTATTCTCTGTCAGTGAAACTGCAGTTGTCTTACTTTCCAGTGAGATTTACAGCCTTTACTTCAACATAGACTTTAGTGCGCAGATCTAATCCAGTTGGTGGAACCACCAAAGGGCTGGTATAATCTGAATTCTGACATGAAAATAATCAAAAATATCTTTAAAAATGTGGCATATTTTGGATTCGGAGTAAAGAATATTAACACAAATCTACACTTACATTGAAGACACTCATGCTGAGAGTGTCAATGAAAGTTCCATTGTTGTCACTAGTGGCCACTGACACTGATGACCTGCATGAAAACATATAAATCAAGTCAATCCTCTTGTTGTCACACTGTAGTTGGTGAAGTATGCAGTGGAGTGTGAATGTCTTAATGCTCACGCTACGATCTGAGTGTTGTTGATGAGGTATTCCAGTGGATAACGACAAGAGAAGTGATAGTAGAGATCTGTGGAGTAACTGATGATGCCCTCCGCTGAGCTGGGCGTATCAATATATCCTGTGATAATTACAGCCTGAATGCTGGAGAACATGCTGAATGGACCAGAGGAGCTGGGCACCTCATCCACAATCTAAAAATGCACAAGGGGATATACATATATATATATATATAGGTATATAGGCTATTTTTTCTTCTTGTTTGAGAAACCATTTCATCACAATAGGGAAGAAAAGATGATAGCAACTACTGTTTCATGCTGACTTTAACTAAAGTAGTTAACTGATGTTAACCAGTGTGTGTGTGTGTTTTAAATACATTTTAATGCTTACTTTCTTTAAACAAATTTAAAACAAATTCTGATATTTTTTTTTTTTACATTTGACCATTTTTATGATTAGTAAACGTATGTATTCAGCTTTTGTCACCTATTCATAATACATTTTTATAATTACAATATAAAGTATTACATATGACCTTATTATTTTTTTCAATAAAATGCTACACACAAACGCTATACATGAACTTTTTTACATATTTTTTTACTATAATACATATTTTATATATTACATTTTAGCATTTTCAATTTTTGTACATCTTACTAATTTTTTTTAATAATATTAGATTATTCATTTTTTTATTTTAATTAAATTTAGTAACACCATTTATTCACTATGCAAGTGGTATAAAAATGGTTTCAAATATATAATACATTTTTTTTACACATCTTCCTCCATTTTTTTAAATGTAGCTATATGTATGCAGCTTTTAATAATGTTTTAGTTTGTATTTGCCAACTGTGATTTAAGAAATGAGGAGAAAAATTGTTCTTGAGAAAGATAACAAATATAGTTTTTTCTTTGCACCTGCAGAGACTGTCTACATGGGTTCTCCTGGCTGTGATTGACTGCCAGCAGGTAGCGGATGACAGGTGGGTCCACAGTGGTGTCAATGGTGCCTCTGCACTGGGCGTTATTCCGCTCCCCGTTAAGAGCCAGGCCATTGGGGTCAAAGCCTGCCCACTCAGCGGTGCACAGGTTTACCTCCAGAGTAATGATGCTGGTGCCACATTGTACCATCAGATCATTGTTGTCTAAACAGAAAAGGGAGGTCTTACTGTCAAGCAAACTGCAGAGAATTGAAGACTGTCGTAAATTCGGAAAGGTCACAGACTCACCTGGAACCCTGTTATACACCGAGGAGCAGTTATAGGCCGCGTGAATGGGCTGCAAGACGAGAGCCAGTGCACATAAGCAGAGGCAAAGCATCATTCCCGCTGTAGAGCAAAGGCAGAACATGACCAAAAGTCACCTATTTAAAAGCCAAGTCATCCAACAACACAACCTTAACCGCTGTAACACTTACAATAACAGTGAAGGTAATTATTTTATAGTAGTTTAGGGGAAAAGCAGTAGATATCAGTGCAAAGAAACAGTACAGCATACCTGTTTAACTTCCAGGGAGTTGAATGGACACTGTTTGATGAGATGATGCTTCTCATATATAGCGTTAGAGCCCAGACTTGATTCAATAGGTGCAGGGAGTGTCTCTGTCTCATCCCTCCTACTATATTACCGAACAGTTCCTTCACAGATTATAACATTAATGCTCTGGCTCTGGTTAACAATGACAGTGACAGCAGGATTTGACACACATCCAATAGACACTTTTCAGATAAGTCCATATACTTTGTACATGAATCCTAATAAAACTGTGATAATGACCATGAATATAATATGTAGATGTTATTAGGTCTCTATATATATATATATATAGTTTTATAATCAAATACATTTTTTACAGTGTATGTTAATATTTTATGGGTAAATGTTTCTTGCCTCCAAGAGCTGCCATTCTAAATGTTGTTGTACCTCAATAAAAACAAAGTATCTTACTTTTCTTACTAAATTGTATCCACTATATTGTTGCAATTAGAATTGGTTTTATGATTTTGACAACTTTGTATAAGCTGGAAAGGATATTGATATCTATCATTTTGTATGAATATAACATGAAATGCATTCAGTTAATCAGTTCACTGATATTTTCTTTTAATAAAATAAAGTCTTGAATAGCACACAATCTAAAAATGAAATCATTTTGGCCAATATGTTTGATTAGGAGTAAATATTTTAAACAATGTATACAAATCATTACAGAGTTATTGTAAGACTGATGTTATTATTATACTGTTGTAAATGAACATAACAAACCATATCTTCAAACTTTTAAATGTGTTGTTGTCTGGGTGAACCAGCAATAAAAAACAGTTCTGTATTCTTGCATTCAGATGGATTTTATTCAAAATAATTTGTATTATTTTTTTTTCTATCTGTATTACTGTTACAACAGTATTGAAACTCAAAGCTTTGTAAAATAAATTAAGAGTCTATTATAAATCATTTGAAACATGAAAATGTTGCATCATCTCCTCCAGGGAATTGATGTATATATGACGAGAATATGAGAAATGTGATCATTTGCCATAAGGTATGAAACACAGGACGCCAAAAATAGCTTTTGTTCGTCTGGCTCGCATGCAAGCATCATCTATTGTATTCTAAGAGCAGTTATCTCAGCTCAAACACCCCTGCTAAAGGCTAAAGGGTCGGTTTTGACTGAGTGATGGTGATATGACAAAGAACTTTGAATGAAGCAGGTACACTTGTTTGTGCCAAAAAGCCCCTTGGTCAGAGAACATATTTCACATATTATGCTTCAATGTGTCAGACCTTGATGATTTTCAGTTTTTGTCCACTGGACAAAACAACTTAACAGTGATATATATCTAAATCCATGTGTTCTTTCATTTTATTCACATAGATTAATTCATATAACTGCAGTGGTCACTATCTGGTTCAGAGAAGAGGTAAAATGCAGTATGAAGTATGAGAACTACTCGTTCAAGAAGTCAAACCACCTGCACAGTGAGGTTATTTTGGATTGTATTGTTTATTTATAAGGCAACATTCATACATTTGCATGCCAACATCTCTAGAAATAAGAATTTTCCACAACTTCACATTCAGATCCTGTAACTACAGAATAAAACAAAACAATTTGTCATTGTGTGTTGTTTCCTATTTCATGTGCCAGCAATACTAATATTAATTTAATCATATTTTTGCGGAATGGTTATTAGATTCTAATTTAACATCCCTGTTAGATTCTGTAAAAATATATACAATTCGCCATTTTGAAGAACAGAACTCTGTTGTCAAATCATGATTTATGACTCTTTCGTGCTTAATGGCCTGTTCCAATGTACAATTACATTTCTTTAAAAAAAATAAATAAAGGATGACAATTGTGACAGTAGCTAGGGTACCTAACATCAGAACAGACCCAAGGAACAATGGAGCCGGTTTAAACCAAAACAATAATAGTACAACACTGCCACCTGCTGGTTTGGCAATAACTGAGCAATGATTTTCAGTCGTCTTAATAGATAATACACTCTAAAAAATCCTGTGTTGTTTTAACCCCATTTTGGGTCAAATATGGTCAAACTCAAACAATAAAATGTCATTTAAAAACGTAACAATGTCTGGGTTTGTCCATATATGACCCAAAATTGGGTTAAAATAACCCAGCATTATAGAGTAGCCTAATCATGTTCCGTTCTGCTTTAATACCAACAATTTTATTATCTTACTATTGCCAATGGTTCAAGCACAAAACAAGCAGGCAGAATAATAAAACCCAAATAATCCATGAGCATCCGATCTCAAAACAATTATATTGACTTTCAATCTATTCTCATGGTGTGTCTGTCCATGATGACATTGAAAGTAGTGGCAGTTACAGATGTCAGTCTGTACTTCTTAAGTATGCATAGGCTATCTTCCTAAATACTTTCCTGCATCCAGGTTATAGGAAATGCATTGCATTCAGTGAGATAAACTTTAATGTCCATTCTATATGCATGTGCAATAAAAATACGGCAACCATCCACACAAGGTGACATAAGCAGAACAAGCCTAAACAACTTGCACAAGTGGTCGGTTTGTGTGCAAACGTGACCAATTTTCTTAATTTTTGATGTAACTTCTAGCGTGAAAAGTAGGCTATAGTAGGCTAGTAATTAAATATTTGCTTAGTTAGGCCTATCATCACCAACGCGCTCTCTATTGTTGTTGATCAATAAAGCATTATTCTGCCTCAGAAACCTGTGCAAAGTTAGTTTTGCGAGATAGGCTATACCTTCATGTGGAAAAGCTGCTTCAGCCTAAGCTTTAGGACATAGCCCAGGAGTGCTGATGTAGCCTATAAGCCTACCGGAGTGCCAATGTGCCGACAACACCGGTTACTTTGGCAGCATCTGAAATAGAATGCTTCCCTGCTATGGCCTATAGCCTACTAGACAAAAAAACGGTATGTGACTGTGACAAAATGTCAAAATTCACAGTAGCCTACTCTGAAACGTGTAAGCATTAATTCTGAACTATACTGCAGAGAGAAGTGAATTATTTAAAATAAGTACCTATTTAAGAGAGTGTGATTTCAGAAGCAGCCTAAGTCTTTATGAATGAAACATTGAATAATTCATTTAATCGATTCATTCAAAAACACAGACTAACACAGGGTCTAGAGGGCCCAGGTGATTTCAACCGAGGGGGCCCCCATCAACAACCCGCACCAAGGCCCCGTATACCCTATCTACGGCACTGGAATAGCACACTAGCATACTTCTTATTTCTTCAATATCTTTTAATGACGAGTATTTTATTCCGAACCTCCGTCTTTATGAGTTAGTCATCATTAACTTACAAATTAATTATTCAGGAACACAGGGATTGTGCTGTGGCTTTGTTTGTGGTGGAGCATGGAATGTGTCTAAAATATAAGTTGCTCAATAGAATATAAATAATAATGTAAATCATTTAAACCATCAATAATGTAAATATAACAAAAAATTAAAGCAATGACACTCAAAATCATGCTGTTTTCAAACACTTTCAACACAAATGTCTATAGCATAAATTCAGTGGTTAGTGGTTCCCAAAAGATGTGACTTGAGCCTAATAAAAGAGACATGACAGAGGAGGGGCAATGAGTCCGGGCAGCCGGCCAGAGATCAGCACAAACAAACTGCACATGCACTGCCACTGGTCTAATGGCCTCTCCCTTTCTTCTCCAAAACCTCATGGCATACAGGATCTATTCATAATACCAGATTTCTCTGCATATATGATTATACACAGTAGGAGTTTTCCCCCTTTCCATGAATTTAACCCAGGCTTAACTGGGATTCTTGTCACGAACACCAGGATATGTTTTACAGTTCATATTTCCCTTAAGCTCTGTAAAATGAATTTATTTTCTTTGTCAGGGCAAGGGGAAAATGTCTGGAAATGAAAAAGAACAACAACAACAAAAAAAAAACCCACTAAGATGAAGAGGAAACTGCCTGTTGAAAAACTGTGTGCTTTCTTTCCTGACTGGCTTCCTATTCCTGGGGATGGTGTGTGTCTGACTGTGAGCTGGCAGGGTCAGCAGTAGTGACTGAGCTCCTTTGACTTGCACAAACCAGTCACCCATCTTACTTCCTCTGTCAGTTTGCTTGTGAGCCAAACAACACTGGTTCCCCTGCACATGTCTCCGAACTGATTTTATGTGAATTGGAAACTACAGTGATTGATGCCTACACTCTAAAAGAATGCTGGGTTGTTTCGAACCAAAGTTGGGTCCAAATGTTGGGTTAAAAATGCAATTAAAAAATGTACAGTTGAAAGCGAAAGTTTAAGTTGGGTTAAAATTTTAAATTACATTTTAACCCAACAAGTTGGGTTTGTCCATGCTATTTTATCAAATTTTGGGTTCAAACAACCCAGCATTGTTTAGAAAAAGTAGAAATTTGTGCTAAAAGATGAAGTACATGGTTACTTATCACTTATCTCCTGCAACATATTTAACACATAAAACCACTACAACATAAAAAAAATCAAGAAAAAAAATAAAAATAATTTGAATCAATAAAATAATGATGTCCATAAATAATTTATTATACTGCAATACTGCACAAAAATAAAAATTGTTAATTTTGATGTTATGGTGACTAAAAGTTTAAAGCATCGAAACAGTAAAAAAAGTATTCAATCAGAATAGCCTACGTTCAAAAAAAAATATTATTTAAAAAAAATTATTATTAGCTTATTTATTTAAAAAGTAGCTGACAAACAAGAAACTATATCGTGGGAAAATTCTTCGGAACACTGTTTAGCTACATTTACACAAAGAGTGTCAGCACACAAAAACAGCTTCAACAGTTTCTGCTGGCCAGCACATTCATTCGGAGACCCGAGCAGCCTTTCTTGGGTTAGGCGAAAACTTTGCCTGTGTTTGTTTCGTCTGACAGCGGGACGTTTTGGATCTAGAAACAGTCGTGTCGTGGCAATCACACGCCTTTTTTAAACTATGTAGAGATGGAGTTCATGAAACTGATCGGAACTGTTTTGGCAGTTTGTTTTCATCCTAGCTGCGCATCAAGCGCGTTCGGTGGTGAGTTTGTGCTTAAGTTATTTATATAAAATGTCGGTTCATGCACAGTGATATCAGAGACTATTTATAAAGGACTTTGGTGATATTCAAACGATAGGACTCCGCTAGATTTTGGTTGCCTCTTCCATGCGTTGAAATAAACATAGTGTCCAGTTCGAGTGCACAATATTCAACACTGACAGTCAAAACAATACGATAGTTTCGGGTGACGAACTGCAGTGTTTTCAAATAAAGATTTCTGAAGCGTTTTGGCAGAACCATTTAAAACGGATATACTTCTGATAATACAACAAAACGTTCAATTACAGCTTCATTGAGTGTTCTTTTTCTGCTAAAGTGGCGTGTTTATGTTCAGTTTTCGGCCAAGGAGCGTTTTAAATTTGGGTCACGGGCACGGCTGTTTTTTAGTACGAGACGATATGGCTGATGGCTGTCGCACACATGACTTTGCTTGAGAGGATTTTCCGCCTGACAGTTTGTGGAAGTTCTCCTGGTTTCTTCCTCACTTAGCTCACTGAATTCCCTCCGCCAACTTTCCTAACGGTTCCTACAATGTTTCCATAATAGTGCTTTAGGTTCAACACTCTCATCAGTGTTTTTTGGTGATGTGGTTTGCAGAACACAGGATATGCCGGAGAGGGACAGAGAAGCCCTGCTATAAGATCACAAGCTTCCAGGACAGCAGGCTCAGAGCGAGCTTTGAGGCAGCCAGAGAGAAATGCAGGGAGGATGAAGGGGAGCTGCTCAGTATTGAGACCGAGAATGAGCAGCGTCTGGTGGAGAAGATTGTTCAGGAGCTCAGGGCCTCGGATGGAGACTTCTGGATTGGGCTACGAAGGAGTCCACAATATAATGTTGATTGTTCAGCACAGTATTACTGGCTGGATTACAGTCAGGCCACATTTAGGTAAGGTATTTGGAGTAACAACATCCTGAAATTTTCTGATGACCGATGATGATGAATTTTCAGTGAATGTGTGGTGTGTTTAGGAACTGGCTGGTGACGGAGCCTTCTTGTGGCCTTGATCAGTGTGTGGCGTTATTCTACCGGCCCTCGTCTTCTGCTGTCCTGAAGAAACGCAACATGTTCAAGTGGACGGACTTCAATTGCAATTCCAAGAATAACTTCATCTGCAAGTACTCAGATGGTAAGCTTTTGCTTATGTTAAGGTTAGCTGTCACATTAAGATGTTTAATAGGGAACAAATATCAATCCAGCTTTTGGTGTAAACATATTATGTAAAAGGACTTCAAATATAAACTCCTGTATGTGTTTAGAGAAGCATCCTGTCCCCACTCCAGCAGGAAATATCACCACACATACAGGTAGGCCTAAAAACAAATCCATAAGTTTTATCTGGTGTGTCTGATATTTTTTTAAATATATTTTACTTATTAATAATATACAGTATATTAATAAGTGAAAGCATCTAAATTACTGTGAGATATTTGCATTTTTATAGTACATTTAATCTCAGATAAAAGTAGATTAATGGGATAGTTCCTCAAAAAAAAGAAAAAAAAGAATATTGTCTCATTAACAGTGCTGGTGTCATTAACTGAAACCAAAACAACTAAATGAGATTCACTAGTTTAAGTTGAAGTTGAACTAAAACTGAAATTAAATACATTAAAAATATTTATTTAAAAACATAAATGACAAAAGGACATAACAAAATGACCAAAACTTAAAAGTAAAAATAATTTTTTTTTTAATAATCCATGCTGTAATAGTATTAATAAAAATACTAAAATATATTTACTCACACGTTCACTTTAATTGAAAAAAAAGCAGTGTTAGCATTCTGCTAAAATTCTTTGATGCTCCACATCGAGGAAAGAAAATTATATAGGTTTAAAACGACACAAGGGTGTGTAAATCTGGACACAATAAAATGACAGAATATGATTTTTGTTGAATTCTTCTTTGAAAAAGACATTCCAACTGTATATGGATAATAATGCTGATGATGACCTCTAGAGGTGGAAGTGGAATAATACTTTCACATACATAATAGGTCAGTCATCATCTTTAAAGGGATATTTCACCCAAAAAATCTGTCATCTTTTACTCAGCCTCAAGTTGTTTCCAAATCTGTATGGATTTCTTATTTCTGCTGAAAACAAAAGAAGATATTTAGATAAATATGGGTAACCAAACAGTTGTTTGGCCTCATTGAATTCCATAGTATTTTTCCCCATACTATTGAATGGGTGAACTATCTCTTTAAGTACAAATATGATAAGCACTTATTCCTCATTCGCTGTCATTCTTGTTTTTAGGTATTGATGACCTGACTCCGGTGCCAAAGCACCCGCCCATTACTGTGGACAATGACAGGATAAAAACTGAACTCTCAGAGTCATCTGGTAATACAGGAATAAATACAGTAAAAACCCTTACAATTTATGATCCCATTTTTTTAAAGGAAAAAATAATTATATTCAATATATATAATTTGTTTTTATGATTATTATTTTATAATATTTTTTTAATAATTATATTTTTAACATTCAATAACTAAAGCCTGTCTTAGTTTCTATTTCAGATGACACAATTAATATTTACTACATCCTCCTGGCCATTCTACCTGTGATGCTGCTGTTGATATTGGTGGTGTCAGGGGTGTTCTGTTTCAGAGTCATGTCAAGGAGGTGTGTCATACTTTCAATTCATCAATTCATACTTTGATTATCTTTTCACAAACTATTGTTTGTCACCCTGCCACATAATATACATTGTGACTGTCTTTGAAGGAGAAAAGAACAGAATGAAATCTATGCCGTGCCAGGACAGTGGGTGCGTCCAGTAGCTCCAAAAAGTCAAAATAGTTATGAACACACCAACAAATTCAACCAGCCTGGAGCTCACCTGGAGTACATGAGCTCTGAAATTGACAGAACATTTAGCGTGACGTCCACAAACAGTCAGTTTGAGGACTACGAGAACGTTCCGAGCCGCCCCACACGGTGTGGTTTTGTCACTAATGACATCTACGAGACCTGCCGGAGCCCCTCGGCAGGAGGGGCCGGATGGGTGGACAATGACATATATGGATACTAAAACACAGTATATACTGATCTCTATCCCACTAGTGTGGCACCATGTTTGATCTCTTCCCCAGTCTGTATGCCTGCTCTTTGATGTGCCCTCTGTGACCTAGTGTGAAGGATTGGGAAGTCAGTGGGGTCTAATGCAGGGGTGTACAGTACAATGAAGCTCAAATTCCCATAACTGGACTATACAAAGAAGCATAAAGGTGTCATCGGCTTGTGAGAGCTTCCTCTGTGGAAACTGGTATCCTGGAACAGGACCTTCCCTTTTTGGAAATCCACAAAACACGCTGACCTCTCAGCCCATCTCAAAAACATCCTTCTGTCTCTGAAAATGGCCTCTCTAAAGGATATCTACTGATGTTCCTTTGTTTTTGAAGGTTATGTAGTTGCTTTGTAAGCACCATTGTGTAAAAACAAAAGGTATTAGCTAAATGATTTCTATGCATAAAACATTATTGTTACGTAATTATTGATTATGTATATTTCTTTTGGGTAGGAATGGAATTGTGAGGAAAAAAAGAAAAGTTTTTGCTGTATTTGGATTGTAAAGGATTATATGTTCTCTCTGTCCATATAATAATAATAACTCTGTCACATTATTTAGTCTTTTTCTCAAACAGAATAGCTGTTTCCACACTCATGGAAATAACTGGTCATTTTTAAATCAGGCATGGAAAAGGAGAGTAGTGAATATACCTTTTTCTTCTTATACTTAATTATAAAATATTTCATTACGACAACTAAAACTCTATAAAATCGCAATGACAACAAAAGATATAGAAATGGATTGATTAAAAGGTCTGACCCTGTTTGGAAATGCATTATTATTCTGCTGAATTCTCCGACGTCAGAGCTGCAGGAGCAGTGAAGTATTTTTAGTACTGCAGTACAGCATTTGTCCAGGAGATGTCGCCATATGATAGGCTGAATCGCTTGCAGCGTTGATACATTTGTTGTTAAAAAAATAAACATTTCAATACAAATCGTACGCTGTCTGTAGTGCTTGACATTAACCTGTTTATTGAATTGTTGTTTAAAATGTTCAGTGTAATACATGTACCAGTCTCGCTCATCTGATTCTAGACACATTTAAGGTTTGTAACGAGAATCTGCTTTAGGCCTATATGATGACGTAATTGTCCAAATACGTGGTAGGCTGCGACTGCTTTGATGTCTACAGGGCCGAGTTGCAAACCCTTGACTTGTCCTAGATGTCATGTCCATGTTTCAAAATGTGATTATTTAAAGGGACAGTTCCCCTAAAAATAAAAATTCTGTCATTTATTTCTCACCCTCAGGTCACAGTAAGAAATTTCGTTCATCTTCGGAACACAAAAGCTTTTTTTTTGGTGAAATCTGAGAGCTTTCTGTAATTTCCAAGATTGTAAAACTATTGTAAAACTGTTCATCACATAAAGCGACCTCATTAGAAAAGTTGGACTAAACCGCTCAACTCGATTAGTTTTACGATTTCTTCATGAACATTTTGGAGCATTGAAAACATTAAATATGAAGATTAAAATAAATATTATGTTAGCTTTAAATTAATATGCAATATATATATAAATACAGGTAAACAATCTAGTGAATAAAAAATAATCCAACTTACAGTACAGCACAATGGGTAGAACATTTTTCAACTAAACAGAAACCAAATATGTTCCCAATTATGTAATTTTGACTTGTTTATGATAATATAGATTTTTGAGTATTTATAGAAACTCCCTCGCACGAGGATCGTCACATTGGGGGTTGCGACACAGTCTAAAAGATTGAAACCCCTGCCATGCATCTTTATTAAGGTACAATAAAGAGAGAAAAACAAAACGCACAGCCTTCAAATACCGAGCACGTCCTCCCTAGTAGGCTCTCATTCCTCGACTGAATTGAAGTACTCGAGAGACTTTATCAAAGTTGCTCAATGCTCACACACTCACTCACAGGCAGCGCTCGAGCAAAGAGAGCGACGCTCTGGCCTTTGACGTAAGAGGTGGGTCTGGTCGTCTTGGAAACGAATTGGCACCGTGTGGAAGCGCTTCGAAGCCCCGCCCCCTGTACAAATACCCCCATAGGCTCTGACGTCAATGTACGTCAACCAGAGAACATGATGCCTCCTGCCAGTCAACTCGTGTACTCTCGCAAACACAGATGAAATATTAGAGCTCTATTGTATTGGAGGAGGTGGCGTGACACTTCGCCGCGCTCCGAAACACTCTGCTTCTCCTGGTAAGACTGGAGCGGACCGTCAGCGAGCACCGTGGCCGGCACACTGGCATTTCTACACGCGTTAGCCTCTGCCGACCTCGTTATCTTGAGGCTCAAGTGGCAGGTCTCTATCTTCTCACCCCAAACCCTAGTGTTTCACAAACAGCATGGTCATGGCTGACTGTCACCAAAAGCCAGTGCTCAGGGGTCCTGTCCGAGTGGGCTTCTACGATATCGAGCGAACTCTTGGAAAGGGGAATTTCGCTGTTGTAAAACTAGCAAGACATCGTATAACCAAGACAGAGGTGAGTTGAGAATCTATGAGCTAGCTAACCTACATATACGAACTAACCCTAACCGAAAACTACTGGATACAAAGTTACAATCTCTGACGCTTTACTCACACTGGCTTGATAATATCATGTTATGGTCGAACCTAGTTAACGTTATGTGAGAACTTATTATTTGTGGGTAATAAACAAACAACCTGTTTGACTGAAGCTGTATCAGCATTGTTTTGCTAAAGGAACCACCTGGAATGTTTTATAACTTCTGGGCTGATTTTTATTTTATTTTAAATATTTTAAAACATTTTGTCAACATGAATGTAAAATAATTCAATTAATTAAAATGATTTATTATTTGTTTTTCATGATAAAATCATCATCAAAAACCTATATCTATAAAATATAAATGTTTATAACATTTAAATAAAGTATATGGTCCATTTTTGTCATTTTCAGTTAAAATTTAGTTTTTTTTTTCTGATCCAAAGTGTTACGGTCTACACTTAGGTGAAACCTTTGTGGAGCTTTGCATGCACCGACAAATGCACATCCAGCAGCTTAATGCCTCAATGGAAATATGCTGAGTATTCAAGCATTGTCAGCTCTAATTGTGTCTGAAACTAGTTGTCAAAGAAAGATAAAGTCAAAGGGTGTGTACAATAGCAAGAAATCATCCTGGTTTAGTGCCCTTTTATGGGCCATGCTGTTGTGCAGTGGTTGCATAAGCAACATGGGTGATTTTGTGATAATGGATGTCGTCTCAAGACAAAACCTGAGCTGATGTTAGTCTCGCATTCCTTGCAAAGAAAACCTGCTGAGCATCAAATGCATCAGGGAAATGTCAAGAAAATTATTTTTTAAAAATGATTTAGCATTTTCCTAGTTACACTAAGCTCTAAAATGTGTGCTCTTTGAGTGGAGTCTTTATCAAATGATTTGTAAAAATCCAAGGTTCATGACCTCAGTGACCTGTGTCACTGTGAATGTGTTGTTTTGCTCCAGGATGTTATAAGTGTGAAGCGTCTAGCTGTAATTTGCTCTTGCTCTGAGAGCTGTGGTTGTCTAACTGTCTGCAAGTCTGCAGATGTAGAGTTGAGCATTGGAGCAGAATGTGAGGGTATTAAGATATGTAACCGGATTACGTTGTACAGAGTTGATGCATCTCTGCAGTGGCTGCCTTGAGGCGGCTTCATTTCTGTGGGGACGACACCGTCTCGGCTCCCATTGCTTCTTATCAGCCTCTCTTGTGTTTAATGATTTCTCTGTTCACCCTCTGAGCTCTCATCCAAACACACATGCTCTGGTACCAAGTGTCTACCGCTTTGTGTTTTTGCTCCAGTATTGCCTCTTGCCTCAGTTGCCTGTATTGTTCATGGTTTCAACGGACAGTTGGTTTACTGTTACTGCCAATGAGAATGACTAACCACATTCGCATATGACAGCTGATTCATAGGGGGTGATGTGCTGTAATGTTTTCAGTCAGTTACCATTATCTCTTTCTTGGCCCAGAGTCAGTGTTTCAGGACATTAGACAGAACTGTCCCTTGTCCAATACATACATTTTCCTACATGCATATGTTTTAATGCCTTGCAAACAAACATTTGGATTTCTGTGAAATACTGATTGTTGTTTTGCAAGTTCTGCTGATGCTGATCTCACTAAGATAATGTAGCTGACTAACAGTTTTATATATATATATATATATATATATATATATATATATATATATATGAAGAGTTCAGATGCAAAAGCCTCTAAGTGCCATTTGAAATTTTCTTCTAGAATGATCATTTTTATAAAGCTTGTATATTTAAGTTCAGTGATTTTACTTAAATGACAATGATAATTACCTATTAATTGTTATTTAAGTGAAATTACTGAACTTAAATATACAAGTTTGATAAAAATCATCATTAAAGAAGAAAATTTCAAATGGCATTTAGAGGCTTTTGCATCTGAACTCTATATATATATATATATATTGGCACCATATGCCATCTTTTCAAGTGTTAATGAACTTTTGATTACAACGTTTGTTAAATTATTGTAGATTATATATTCACGTAATTTTGTTTGTGTCTTACTTTGGCATTGTAAATATCACTAACTGCAGGAAGCATGCTAAAGCATCACAGTACTGTAAATCTTCAAAACAATTTTTTTTTATATCAATGTAATAATATAAAACAAAGGTCAAAGTCTTTAACTGTGGAATAAATGTTCTGGTTTCTCTGCTTCTGTGTACTTAGCTGAACATATTATTGCTACACAGTCAAAAGGAGGATTAAAGTATGAGTGGTTATGAAATGGTGAATTACTTGTTCTTCTCTCATTTGTCTGGCAAAATATGAAAATGATTATTTGGATCATTAGCCTGCTTTAGTAGTTAAGCTGTTAAAAAGAAAGACACTCAAATGTGAATTAGCTTTGTTCGCGTCGCGTGTATTTCACCTTTGATCAGCGCTGGGGCTTGTGAAGACTGGATCAACTTAAACTGCTGACAGCAACAAGACTAATGAATTTCTCTGAGTAGCTTCAGGCATTTGGCTCCATACCAATGAAAGTGTGTCTCTTTGCCCTTAATTCAACAGGTGGCTATAAAGATCATTGACAAGACCCAGCTAGATGCTGTAAACCTGGAGAAGATCTATCGTGAAGTACAGATCATGAAAATGCTTGACCATCCGCACATCATTAAACTGTACCAGGTAATGCATTCCCAGGCCGTTTGCTTCCATTATTGTTGGCTCTTATATGATTTTCGAAGTTGATATTATATGAAATTGACTTTTGACATTTGTAAGTGGATTTGGATAAAAGTACTTTCTAATGTATACAATGCTTGATATAATAGTAAGGTTTTAAGAAGGATGTACGGATATGGGATTTCTGGGCTGATGGCCGACAATCAACAGCTGGTACAATGACCAATGATTTTACTTTAAAGGGGTCATCATGACATGAGAAATCAAATTTGCCTTGATCTGCTGACATTTAAGAGGTCTTTTTGTATCATTAAAACATCCTGCAAGTTTCATAGCGCAAAATATCCTCCTCATTATAAACAAAGCGTTTATTTATTTTAGAGCTGCCCCCTAATAGTTGACCGTAGCGTAATTACAGTATGTCGGAGAGGAAATCCAAACGTTCGCCTGCCTCCTGCATATGTCGTTATACTGACCACTACATTCCAATGTCATTAAGAAAGTACAACAATTTATGCTTCACTAGGAATAACAATCAATTTTATAATTGTTACCATTGTGAAATAAGACATCCTTGATTGGCATGTGCGGTCGACAAATGCAACCTGCGGAAGACGTAGTCTTTGAAATTTGCAGCTCAAGTTTTTTCTGCCGAGTGTAAAAAAGTATAGCGGAGGCAGACATGGAGCACAGACTCGATCACTTTCATTTTTTCCTGACAACTGTGGAAACGACTTAAAATACTCTTCATTTTTGGTCATACGGATAAGAGTCATACATCATTAGAAACGGTCTAAGAGGAACATGATATATGTAAGCAATAAGGTACGAGAGGCTGTGCTGTATCGTGAATAAGTAACGGCTGAAGGGCGTTGTTAGGCACGACGCGAAGCGGAGTGCCTGCAACCCCTTCAGCCGTTACTTATTCACGATACAGCACTTGCCTCAAGTACCTTATTGCTTTTATAAAACGGTTGCCACACAATATTAAAATAAAAAACAATGTATTAGTGCAACTTTCATGTAGTTTAATCAATAAAAACATTCCTTCCGCTAGAAAATAGTCCCTCCCTGACTGTGAACAACAACGTTCCAATGTGTAATATGCAGGAAAGCTCAAATAAAAACAACAAACCATTCTCAAACTTTGTCTCATTCTTTTTATTTTTTACAACACAAAATTTGTGAAATTTCCTCACACAAATAGGCATAGCTTATCTCTCAGCAAAATACAAATCTAAAATAAAAAAATAAAAAAAACACAAAGGCACATATTTTGATAGGTAACAGTTAGGTCTTTAATCTAGTTATTAATTTATTTGCTAAAATGCTGCCTAACAAGAGATACTTTATTTATCGTTGTTTATTTAAATGTATTTGAACATCTCCGTTTATTGTGCATGCATTTATATTTGTCTCATTTCAATCGGCTCCACTGCGGTGATATTTTAGTTGGGGCTCAGCGCTGTCAGCGGTGTTTTCTGTTGCAGCAAGAATGTCACCGACATAACTTAAAAAGGCTAAAACGTTTCGTTTTATACTAGGTAAATTTCGTAAATAAATCGAAGTAAATTTCAAATTAATACTAGGTGGCATGACGATGGATAAGTGGTTTGAGGAACAATTTGGAGAGACTACTACAAATACGAACCGTCATGCTGAAGTGCTGAAATGTAAATTTGATACATTTGAGAAGACTCGTAACGAAAAAAATGCCGTGCAGCAAACCCAATGGGCAGTGAAATGCTTCGGTGACTGGTGTAGTGACAGGTGTGTTGGGATTAAGCGCATCGGACAGTTTTATGGTGCTGAAATCTTTAGTAGAAATCGGTGTGTGATGCTCCGTTTTATCACGACCCTCTCTTCTCATTGTCTTTACGACTCCAATGAAAACATTATTGGATGAGGTGAATTCGCTGTCTCTTATCAGACACCACGACAAACTCGGTGGATCATTTAGGAATCTGTTCAGACCCGCACGTAACGCTACATAGATACTGATCCCATATTTTTCTCCTGTGGAGCTTCTGACAGTTCCGTAGAAGTCATGGATAAGTGCGTTGAGTTCCGTCTTGGTGATTTGTTTAAAAATTAATGCCGCAACCCTTTTCACTACACCAATCACCGAAGCATTTCACTGCCCTTTCATAGGTTTGCTGCACGGTATTTTTTTTCATTACGTATTTACGAGTCTTCTCGAATGTGTCAATGTTACATTTCAGCACTTCAGCATGACGTTTCGTATTTGTAGAAGTCTCTCCAAATTGTTCCTCAAACCACTTATCCATCGTCATGCCACCTAGTAAATCGAAATTTACTTTAAACATTTTAGCCTTTTTAATTCTTAAGTTTTTTTTCTGTTTAGCCTACGTTGATATGTGTGGTTGCTAAGGGTGTTGCTAAGGGCGCAGTGATAAATAGAACCGTTGGGTGAAGCGGTCATAGCCGTGTTTTATCGTGAATAAAGCACAGCTATTGACCAATCAGAATCAAGGATTGGAACTAACCGTTTTATAACATATATTATATAATATATCATGCACTTCTCTCATTTTACCTGAGCAAATTTCGCCAGATTACCTCTAGCTATTTGTCTAAAGTTAATGGCTAACTACTTTCACTGTGCACTTTCACATGACCAACATTAAAGTTGTCCGGCTGGAAAAAGCCTGTTTTTAACAGGAGATCATTCACACCCTGGAGTCAAAGTCACACAGACACTTAGATGATGAGATAACTTCTCCCTCAATGTGACTTCACTACAGCATTATGTAAGACTTTAGGTCACTTTGGCTTTTGGGAATGTGAATTGAGCTTCCTTATTATAGAACGTACCGGCACCAGTCCAAGCCCCTTGCCGTGTAATCATAGTGTATCATTATTTCCAACGGTTACTCCATTCAAACTGCATGGGTCAATTAGTCATTTCCTTTCAGTCATCATAAACAGAGGGCAGCTCTGCAGGCCCTGCCATCTCATCTCTAACCCCCGGTTTCCCTCTGCCCCATCTGCCACGGCTCAGGGTCCTAACACCAAGCAGCTGCTCCGCACACGCACCCTCACGTACATGTAACGCAGCCGCGAATGGTCCATATTTACTGCGGTAATCCGCCTCTATTCACACGTCATTCATCAGCAGCATTACATGTCAGCTTTTTCTTTGGACCTATCAGATGCAATGCACATGCATTTCAAACACACTGCCATCAATTCTTCAAGCATCATTCATGTAGGTTTCTTAATATCATAATTGGTTGAAAGTTTAAGGAGTGTCAATTTAACATGGAAATTTAGTGTGAACATTTTCTTTCAATTTGCACATATATTGCAGTTTATGTGAACATGCATATTGTTTTATTACTAAACATAATAGAATTATTAATGTGCAAATGTTGTGCATTTAATTAAAAATGCACTAGATATCTAATACATTAAAATATACACTAATACGGAATACTTCATATTTATTGAATACCATTTTTCTACATTTATAATGTTATCTTAGCATAGCATCAAAACGTATGAGATTAAATACCATGTTTTATCTCAAGTCACCGCTTAACGTCAGTTCGAGTGTTTGAAATAACTTCTGTGATCCTATGTGGCTTCACATCACAGAATGAGACAAAAATATATAATTTTGTAGTATTCTACACTGTGATTTCTTTATTATTATTAGATAAATAGTTGATGCATAAATGTAGTGCAATTAATTAAACAAACTGCACGAAATCTACACGCATTACATTCATATTATGTAATTTCTAATTGATTGATAGTCCTACTTGGTTTGCGGTTTATTTGACCACAGCGTGACCCATCCCTTGACTTAATGTGACTCATTTAGTGTTGAGGTTTGTCACATAAACCGACAGCCAACTAGTATAGAATCAACTATTCGCATGAGATAATTTGAGTTCTTTCCAGTTATTTGCTTATTTGGCAGCTGATTGGGATAAGACGTGCTTTGTGATCATTGTGTTCTGAACAGCTCTGAGATCACAGCTTCCATTAAAACAAGTTTCTGGAAAGGAGAATTAGTTGGGGGGGGTTTAAAAGATGATTCATATTTTGGCCTAGTTGCTGATTTTATTAGTCAACCCTATAATGCCTTTAAATGGTAAGAGCAAAAAAATCCCCTACAAGTTGAGCCCAGATAAGGCTGATTTACACAAAAGCCTCTTGGTACAGATGAGGCTGATGTATCAGTAAACCCTAAACTAACTGACTGTTTAATTGGCCGACGGTAGTGTTTATGTGGGACTCTTTGAATGTTTCTGAATTATAGCATTCCACTTCTCTTCACTACATTTAGGTCTATTCATCTTTTTGTTTGCTTTGGCTATATCTGGAGTCCTCCCACACATCGCTGGCTCTGACACTGCACTATGAATCGAGGCTACGAGTAAACTAGCGTCCCACTCTGATTCATGTGTGTTTCATTATAATACTGTGAACCAAGTTGGATACTTCAGATTTCATATTAATGTAGCAGTCATTTTATCACTCAATGGTTTTTTGCACTCTCTAAGTGCTTCATGTATATTTTGGAGTAATGTAGGCCATCTACCATATTGTCAAAGACGAGGATTTTACATGTAACATGCATTATATTTTTCATCCTTATGCAGGTCATGGAGACCAAGAATATGCTGTACCTAGTGACGGAATATGCCAAGAATGGGGAAATCTTTGGTAAGTGTTTTTAGTTTTAATGACACACCAGCCTTCACTGACCAAATTCCAGTTGATTTGTGTGTTATTTCGTTTGTAAAAGTTGTTTGTTCGTATTGGGAGTAACATGGTATATTGGCACAAAAATGTTGTGGTACCAAACATTTACAATGGTACAATACAACTGTTTTGCAAATTTCAGTGGCGTGAAGTGTGAAAGTAAAGTACACAAGTGCAATAATGCATGATTTGAGAAAAAAAATCAAATGCATTGAATATTTTATTATGAATAATTGTTCATAACACTCACAGTATCTATAAATTATTGGCTGAATGTTGTATATAAGATGGTTAGCAAAGCATTGATCATTTACATAATTTACAATCTGTACGATTTATGTTTTTATTTGGTTGTTTTTTTGCACAAAGCTGACTATCACTTTGGGATGGGCATAACTACTCAGTGGTGGTGGTGTTGTTGATTGAGGATGGCAGCCAGATCTACCCCTTATTTCAGTGAAATGATCTAATTCCACATATCACTGACATGGAGAGTGTGTATTCATGCTAACATCTTGATTTCAGATGATAGTGACAAAGGTCAGGCTGAGATTAGCTCAGGCGTGACAAACACAGACTGTGTGAATAACCATCATGGTCACAAGCAACAAATGTGTCAGTGAATGATGATCATATTCTGACGGGTCAGCTGTCTGTCCTGTCTGACACACAAGCTGGAAGCTAAGAGCAAAACTGAAGGTCAAAGAAAAATTAAAGGAAAATTTTTCATGCAAAATATGAAGGTACTGGTTCACGTTTTCTTTTACCGTGAATGGGGACTGAAGTGTTAATGCTTCAAAAAAAGATGCAAAAGCCCAACTAAAAAACAGTCCATATCTGCTATATTCAAAGTCCTATGATCATTTGTGTGACATACACACTGAAATTTAGGTCATTATTCACTGTTCTATTCCAAGTTACCTGTTAACTGTCGTTAGTATCAATCATTGAGTCAGTTAGGTAACTTAGATCAACCGAATCTTTGAAAATATCTGATATGAAAAGAACATAGCCTTGTGGGAAGTGGCTCATGGTTCTTTTTCAATACTGTTCCACTCTTTCATATCACTTCCTGTCACTGCTTCTAATGCCGTATCATAGGAAAAATGGAAGAAATATCATTTTAAATGAACAGTTTGTTCACAAATCGGACATTGCGGTTTCTCTTATGAACATGCCAATGAACAGAAGTAGGACAAAAGTCCTACAAAACTATTATAGGATGTTTAGAAGACTTTAGAAAACAGGGAAGGAGTTATATAGATCACTTTATGATATTGTTTAGTGTAGCCATGGCCTACGACCCGCTATAAATCAGAACCGGACCGTTTTTGCTCCAAACACATGATCGGCAACCGGTTTTTAGTTTTATTTTGGCCGAATTCTATTCCGGACTTGCACACAAACTGCATTGCAATCATTTCCCAAAATGCAATTTGTGTGGAAATATTAAGAAGTCTGTAAACAGGACGTTTACACATGCCAGAGACGGGACTCTGAAGGCAGACGCAAAGAGGAGAACGCAGACGCGCCAGCAGAGAAAATACTGTTCCAGATACTGCAAGCTTACAGTTCGTGATGCTTGAAATCTAGGAAGAAAAAAAATATAATATATAAAATCGAATTGGGGGGGTTAAATGAATGTACCATAAAATTTCAAATAATAGCCCGGGTTTCCCCCCCAACCCCCCCCCCCCCCCCCCCCCAAATCGTCGAAATACACCGGTTTGTATTTGAGACGGGTGTCTATATGAGACCGGCCTTTATAATTTAGTGTTGTTAATTGAGTCTCTAATCTCTGAAAATCTCCAAATGCTTCACGTTAAACTGCGGTTTTCCAACCGTTTACCATCGTGTCAATTGATTTGATTAATATGCGCGAGGGAGAGGGAGCAAGACAGTGTTGTTTGAAGACGGCCGGACATGTCCGGGAAAAAGGTAGATGGTAACCCCTTCTACTCTGTAGCTTAGCTTACAAAAAAAGATGGCTGACGCTATATGTACATTCTGTGAGTGAGATCCCACCCTCTATGGGTGGGTTAAAAACATGCGGGACTGTCCCTACTACTGACTGTTGTCTTTAGCCTCTGACCAAAAAATCCTCAGATAACGCAAAATGACGATTTTTGCGTCATCCGAGGATATTTTCCAGACAAAAAATACATAAATCTCTCATCTCAGGGGGATATGAGGGTGGAAAGCATGGTAATTTGAAAATACGGCAGGTTTTCTACTAAAAAACAGGTTCTCTACAAAGCTTAAAGCTGCCGTTGGCAACATTTTTTTTTTTTTGGTCCTATTCAGTGAAATCGAGTAATCCGACAGAACAACATAAAAGTGAACTGATTGTCATTGTTTTCCTCTTACCTCTGTATAAAGTAGTGTTTATAAGAAACAGCTGTTGTTCCATAAGCCCAACCTACTGTCAGAGAGTGAATTTGTTTTCATTCAATCTGTCTGCTGTTTTAGTTTAGTCAATTTCAAAAATATTTAGACCATTCTGTTTTTGTTCTAGATCAAAAACAACTGCTCATGCTACATGAATGTAGCATCTTTGTTTAGATTGTGATTAAAATGACGTGGTTTGTCTGTTAGAGATAATAATCAGCAAATAGTGATTGTCACCACTGTAGTGATTCATATTTATTATATTGAAGAGTAGGCAGAATCCTGTTCATGCAGAAGAGGGTGATATGGGTTTGGAACAACATGGATGTAAATGATTGCAGAATTTTAATTTTTAGTTGAACTATTTAAAAATCCCTTGTTGGTGACTTTTGAATGTGCATTAAGAGTAGACTACGTCACTTGCACTGACTGATCCTTTTGACTTTGTAGCAGCAGTTGCTGTTTACCACCTGTGAAAACTCACACAATCCTCACACATTATTCTTACATAACAGTGTCTGTTTCACAGTACATGGCAATGTGATATGAAGAAACCTACCTATGAAGCTACCAAGAAATTATTCCTACCCTAAGGATTCAGAATTTTTTTACGTGCATTTAGAGTTTTGATAGCCTCTCCTACTTCTTTGCTTCGTAGACAGAGTCTGGAATGGCATAATAGACAAGTGTTTTCTCTCTCGCTAGGAGGCGCTTGTCTGATGTTTAAAATCAGATAAGTTTATAAAAATCAGATAAGTTTTATGATGTATGTTATGCGCCTTCACAGTCGCATCGAACCACAGACATGGCTGTAAACGACTTTTGAAAATTATGCGAAGTTAAATTACGCATCCACGGTACAATCATGGCCTCTAAACTTATTTTTGCCTGAGTGAAACAAGAAAATATTTGTAGCCAACTCTCTAATTTATGATTAGATCTTTTAAACACAGTGCTTTGTTCCTCTAGCCTAGTAATACCAGACTCTGCTACAGTACTTCACTTTACTTCGTAGACGGACGTAACCAACGGTAACAATTGATAAATTAAACTTTTCCCAAAACCAGTCGGGAGTAGGGCCACAACATCACCTTCATTTAAAAGGTTTATCAAACGCTCTTCTTGTTCTGGCTTCAGTTTGAAAAACCCCGAAATGTTCTCCATGTTTTCCTTAACATCCCGTGTCTCGTTTCCCATTCAATTTCTCTAACCTACAATATAAAACTCGGTGCTTAGCATCTACCTCTGTTCGTTGATTGGCCGGCCGTCCGAAGGCCGCTGGAAAACTGAAAGATAGGCTGCTATCTCAGAATGACTACAGGAGCGAAATGAAATTAGCGGCTAGAGTTTTGATGCGCTTTACAGGAAATATCCTGTATGTGTGTGTGTATATATATATATATATATATATATATATATATATATATAATAATACTATATAATATAGCCCCACCCAAAGCTAAATCCTATTGGTCCAAAACTATATATTCAACATCAATATTCAACAAATATATTCACATTGGCTGTTGTTCTGCATTGTGCAACACGCTTAACAAATTACTTAACACTACTTTCTTTGGATACATGTTGTTTTTTTATAAACGTATTTGTCATGACAGTTCTGCTTGTCCAGCCACCAATCAGTACGTTGTACCAGCAAAGTGCTTTATTACTAGACAACAAACAGACATTTAGCGTGATGCTAAATCCATCTCGCGGTTGTGGTGTACGTTGTGTGGTGGACACCATGACCCTGGTGTTGGATGTGACAACAGCGTCTGTTTTGAAAGCGATATAAAAAGGAATGTCGTGGCTGAAGCAAACCAAATGACTTGTTCCTGCCCAAGTGTGCTACAGGGTGAGATAACATCCAAAACTCCCACAGAGACTTGAAATGAGATTGCAGAGGTCAAGCAAATAAAAGAACTAAAAACACATAAAATGATCTGTCAACATAGCATGACAAATACTTGCATGACAGTTTTTGTAGAGATTACCCTATAGTTACTGGTGGTACTGAGAGGCCATGTTGTCCAGCTTTTGTGATTCTCTGATTGGACAATATAATTATGCAAATTATTTACAGCATGTTCCATTCCTATAAAGACAAAGTTATGAAAGAAACATTTTTTTTTTTTTGCTTGCATCCCACAAAACGGAAACCCATTAGTGATTAGTTCACACTAAACCTAAGCTATCCTAACATAACACAGGCACTCACTTCCATCAGATAATCTTTACAGGGATAAAAGAGAGGAGAGAGATAGAGCAGCATTTGGTGTTGTGTGAAGTGCTGGGTTCGATCCCCTGTGGTGGAGCTTAGCAGTGCAGAAGCCCACCACGAGAGCCTGTCTGCTCCACCAGCACCGCAGATCAGTGCCGAAGCTTTAGAGGGACCTGGAAACTGGGTCAACTTCGAATAAGCAGGAGCTGCAAAACGCACAGGCAAAGCAGGAGAGAGAGGGAAAGCTAAGGGACATTGATTTGAATTTTGGAAGTGGAGAGGAGAAATGTAGGCCATGCATATTTTAGAAAAATACAGAGCTGTAGAAAAGGTTATTTTTCAACATGGGAGCTGATCAGTCTTGACACCCGTGTCCTCAGCGTCCCAATCCCTGCCTTTTACCCTCAATATGTGTAGTATGGGTAATAGGCTCTATTCCTAATCTGTCAATTTTAGGTTTTAGCATTAGTAATTGTGGTATAGGAAAATTCATAAATCCTGTCTAGATAATGTATGACACTAGAAAGAGTATACTTTTGTTTCAAGACCAGAAGAAATGTATTCCGTATGTTGTAAAAAGTCTAATTTGGTTTAATATTTGTGCAGAAATCCACTCACCGTAGTAGTAATACCACAGTATTATTATATATGTAGTTAGTATGACCTCATTAATTGAGAGACTGTTTGAAATCTTTTTTTAAAGAAGTTTATAGATTTTTTTTATATTTAAAAAAACGTCACACAGCAAAAGAAAGATGGCGAAAAGCTTAAAGATGGTAAAAAGCTTAAAATAAATGGAAATCTAGGTAAAGAAGAATTAGAAAATATCATGGTAATCTTCTTTGAGTTTTTTTCTAAATATTTTAAACCTATATGGCATGCAGACTATGAAATATTCGATTTTTATTATTAAAATATCTTGTTTATTAAACTAACACGTTGTTGTGATTATTAAAATATTTTTAGATATTTTATTTCAGTGAATTAAAGATGTTGAACCTTATATTCCCTATCTGTAAGTGACAATACTGCTAGGACAAGGTTCAGCTAGTTCATGTTATAAAACCCCTAGTAGTACACAAGTCCTTCAGATAATGCTCTTGCTGGGAAGAGGAAATGCTTTTTCTCCTCTTCGTGTGCCTCTTCAGTTAGTCAGTCCATGCAACTGTGGTGTGACTGCTGCTCTGGTTTGTAAAGATCAGTGGAGAGAAAATTCAGTTGTACAACTTATAAAGTTGAAGCAACTTTTATTAGGTCAGCTGGCCAACTCAGGCTCTTTCAGGTCTGTCTTGTTCATATAATCAGAAGAAGAGAAATACAAGGATATCAAGCACCAATGTACCTGGTATGCTGGCACCAGACTGATATTGTGTTCTGTTGGCCAAAGTCCACAGTTTTAGTGGGGTTGATTACAGACGGTTGAGGGGTATAGAGCAGAGTGTATGTACACCTTATCTCGGAGTAGATTCCCACTGGCCAGTTGACATAAATATGAGACATTCCTATGTCAGGTGTGCTTTTTGATTAGCAACATACTCCTAAAAAATTCTTTTTAAACGGATCACAATTTCAGAATGTTGCATCTGTTATCTAATTGGTTTGCTCAATGAATTTTACATTTGGTATTACTGTAAAGGTATTATTATTGTAGTAAAATTAAAATGTATATAATAAATTAGATATATTATTAGGTTACACGTAATTTTAAGGTGACGTACAGTATTTACATTGTAATTAATGAGTTTCTGAACTACATGTACTTACAATAGAATTACGGTTAGGGTTTGGTTACTTGTATGCACAATTTACTGTTATTACTTTAGTCAGTGCATGTAGTAATATCTAACTACGCCCTCTTAAAAAAATGGTTCCATATTATTATATCATTATTAATATTATTATAAGTATATTATACAAATATCATATATCATTAATTATGTGTGTGTATATAATATATATATGAACATAATATATATATATATATATATATATATGAACCCTTTACAAATTCAATAAGTTAGTAGTTAGTAGCTAATATGCATTCTTTGCACAAAATAAATTCATTAAAATGCATGCATCACACAGCAAATTTATGAAATAAATAGGCTTAGCCTATTTAAATGACGTGTTGACACAATGTGGCTTTTTTTAGTTTCCCATGTTTTTCTTCTCTATTCTTTAGACTAGGTTATACAAGGTAATTCTGCAATCATTTATAATTCTGTTTTTGATAATTGTTTTTGCCCCTGCTATTAGAAAAACAACTTATGCAGGGAATGACACCTTAAACATGTTGCCATGTACACACAGTCACTCTGCCAACCCATAATCCCAGGGCGAGTATGGAATGGAATGTGTGAGGACTGTAGGTTTGGCCACGGGCCAAGGCCCAGGGGCTGACCCAGCACTCTAGGGTGTGGTGACCACATGATTACACCATCCAGGGGATGTTTACCCTACTCACACACCACAGAGTCTCCTTATTGTGGCTCATCAATCTCTGCCACTAGCCACACCACACCACCAGAGCCTTTCCCGGTACAACGTGTGGTCAGGGTTTTCAAATTATTATTATTTTTTTTTGTTTTTTTTGTCCTGTCACATTTTATTATAACCCATATTACACTACAGTACCCATGCAGAATGTTTAATTGATTGTGTATTTTGTGATCTTTAGTTAACCCCACTTCCGCTTTATTTAGACTACCTAGCCAAGCATGGACGGCTGAGCGAACCGGAGGCACGACGCAAGTTCTGGCAAATTCTGTCTGCTGTTGAGTACTGCCACAATCGTAACATCGTTCACCGGGACTTAAAGGCGGAGAACCTACTACTAGACGGACACATGAACATCAAGATTGCTGGTAATAGTTCATTGTTACACCATCCAAAATGTGGGTTTGGAACATTACTAGTCAGATACATAATGTCTGTGTGTGTATATATATTTCAATTTCAATTTAAAAACACTTTATTTGTCCCCAAGGGTCAATTAATGAGGCCACATATAGTAACGAAAACATTATACATTATAACATCCTACATTAGATAAATAACACAGTGTACATGAGATACATAATGAATACCTAATATATATATATTAAAATAAAAAAATAATAATAATTGTGTGTATATATATATATATATATATATATATATATATATATTTAATTTTTTTTAACCACTATAATGAATTATATAAACTCAGCAAAAAAAGAAACGTCCTCTGACTTTCAACTGTTTTTTCTTTTTGTAAACTTAATGTGTGTAAATATTTGTATGAACACTAAAAGAGTCAACACCATAAGACAAACTAAAAATGTTTCACAGACATGTGACTAACAGAAAGAGAATAATCTGTCCCTGAATGAAGGGAGGCTCAAAATCAAAAGTACCAGTCAGTATCTGGTGTGGCCACCAGCTGCTTGAAGTACTGCAGTGCATCTCCTCCTCATGGACTGGACCAGATTTGTCAGTTCTTGCTGTGAGATGTTACCCCACTCTTCTACCAAGGCACCTGCAAGTTCCTGGACATTTCTGGGGGGAATGGCCCTAGCCCTCACCCTGCGATCCAACAGGTCCCAGACGTGCTCAATGGGATTGAGATCCGGGCTCTTCACTGGCCATGGCAGAACACTGACATTGCTGTCATGCAGAAACTCACGCACAGAACGAGCAGTATGGCTGGTGGCATTGTCCTGCTGGAGGATCATGTCCGGATGAGCATGCATAAAGGGTACCACATGAGGGAGGAGGATATCTTCTCTGTACCGCAAGGCATTGAGATTGCCTGCAATGACAACAAGCTCAGTCCGATGGTGATGTGATATACCGTCCCAGACCATGACGGACCCCCCACCTCCAAATCGATCCCGCTCCAGAGTACAGGCCTCGGTGTAACGCTCATTCCTTCGACAATAAACACGAATCCGTCCATCACCCCTGGTGAGACAAAACCGTGACTCATCAGTGAAGAGCACTTTTTGCCATTCCTGTCTGGTCCAGCGAAGGTGCGTTAGTGCCCATAGGCAGCGTTGTTGCTGGTGATGTCTGGTAAGGACCTGCCTTACAACAGGCCTACAAGCCCTCAGTCCAGCCTCTCTCAGCCTATTGCAGACAGTCTGAGCAGTGATGAAGGGATTGTGTGTTCCTGGCGTGACTCGGGCAGTTGTTGTGGCCATCCTGTACCTGTCACGCAGGTGTGATATTTGGATATACCGATCCTGTGCAGGTGTTGTTACACGTGGCCTTCCACTGCGAGGATGATCAGCTGTCAATTCCTGTCTCCCTGTAGCGCTGTCATAGGCGTCTCACAGTACGGACATGGCAATTTATTGCCCTGGCCAAATCAGCAGTCCTCATGCCTCCCTGCAGCATGCCTAATGCACGTTCACGCAGATGAGCACTGGACCCTGGGCATCTTTCTTTGGGTGTTTTTCACAGTCGGTAGACAAGTCTCTTTTGTGTCCTGCGTTTTTAGAACCGTGACCTTAAGTGCCTACTCTCTGTAAGCTGTTAAGGTCTTAATGACCATTCCACAGGTGCATGTTAATTAATTGATTATGGTAAATTGAACATGCATGGAAAACATTGTTTAAACCCTTTACAATTAAGATCTGTAAAGTTATTTGGATTTTTATAACATTATTGTTGAAATACACAGTCCTGAAAAAGGGACGTTTCTTTTTTTGCTGAGTTTATTTTACTATATAATGTATAATTTTATGCAATATAATAAATGCACAAATTAAATATAGTAAATTTAGTTTTGTAGCACCACAAAACAGCTGAAATTTTTCATCAAAAGGTTTGGTACTTTTTAGGGGGGAGTTTTCCTTGCCGTAACAAAAATGTCACCGTAACAAAAATTTGTTAGTTAATTATAGGGTGTGATGGACAGTTTATATAATCAAAGCTGTAATGCTCAGGATGATGACTCAGGTACTGCTCAGTTGGCAAAGCTATGACTTGCGTCAAGAGGACACAGGTGCATTCTGTGCTGAGCCATACGTGCAGACCAAGGTTCATTTGCAATTTGCAATATAAAAGTGAGCCAGACGCTGAGTATCGCTGCTATCCAAGGCTCTCTGTGAAAGGAGAGCTTCCCACACTCATGTACACACAATCACATATTCAAACACTCAGTTTTCCTGACACCTCAACCTGCTTTCTGCCCAAACTCCAATGTCATGATGGTAGATTGTGATGTTTTGTACAGCAAGTAATGCAGTGGCCAGTCACAGAGGGGTGTCCCACAAGGATTTGTTAAAGGTCCTTTTTCCTTTAGCCCTCACACTGATGCACAGTCAGCCTCTTAGAAGATGGCCGGGGCTGGGTCACTCAAAGAAAGGTCATCGGCCTTTTATGTTCCACTTCAAACATTTTTTTACCCGTGTCATCATGACTAAAAAAAAGAGGTTTTGATAAAGCAGAAGACACTCTAATCTTTTAACCATGAAAACCGATACTGTAGATACACTGAGCAATATATACATTTCACTTCACAGTGTTTTTGCATTGTGATTTATTTGACAGATTAAAATCTCAATGCTTGAAGCAAGAAAAGATCTGTTTTTCCGTTAATTTGTGTTGAATGAGAAAACCTGTGGGAGTGGGAGACTTTCTGGGGTTGGCCAATGATTGGGAAACTGGATAAAAAATGTTTAGGATTGGATCCCTAGAGACCTTTACACAACCAACCTCCAGCACAAATCCAATGCACAGTGTGTTACACATCCACTGCTTAACGAAATTATGAGAGCCAGAGCTATTGACCTCAAAAAAAGCTTTTATTTAAAGTAACAAAAAGATCGGGTCTGCCTGCCTGTAAATATGGCACTAGCCACTGTTTTCCAAGCTGCAGGAGTTAAGCTCTGGGGCCGGATGATATTGAGTGATTCCTGTATTGAATGTTGAGGCTCACTCCTGCAATGTCTGCCGCTGTACTGCCTAGAGCATTGACGTCAATTCCTTCTGCTCAGCATTCAACTCATGAAGTGGGTCAGCTCAACTGATATGGACTCATCATACCGGCTTCTTACATCAGTCACAGTGTAATGTAACCACAGCTGCTTTTTATCTCTCCTTAAGGTTCTCATTTTCATTTTATGAGGTCTCTGAAGCTCAGATTGTAGACAAACTCTCAATACTCACCGGAATTTGAATTAAATCAGATGATTTGACATCCTACACAGTAAAAAATGACATTTTTATAAATGCAAGGTTATATATAATTATTGTATATAATTGTATTATATACACACACACACACGCACCTGCATACACGTACATTAAGACTGTTTGCTGTGTTAGATAATTATAAGGGTGGACTTAGTAATTCAGGGTGATTTTATCATAATACAATTATGATTGTTTTTTTCTCCCGGTTTTAAGTTAGATCTGTTATTCTGTTTATAAGCTTATTTGTTATAAACAACATACTCGGGTTTGTGCTTTTGTATTTGCACAATGTTTTGAACAAATACTGACTTGTAATCTATGCAAAGGAACTTTGACCATTATACACAAGCAGTATCAGATTTTTCTTAGAGCCACATTTGAAGCCATATTTGGCCATCTTGCACCACTGTCTTAGATTTCTGGCCGTTTTGGCCATTGTATCTAATCTCAGAGCACTTTATAAAGCTTTTCCAGCCCATTAAAGCAAGGGTGAGGTGGTGATGACGGTTTCTGTCTACAAGGTTTGCACAGCATGATCCACTAAGCCCTGTTACAGTTGCTGCTCAGCCTGTGTGATGGCTTAGCATCCTTCTATTCCTTCATTAAATGTTGTCAGCATACCTGGTTAAACAAATTTGTCAGTAGACATAGTGTGGTATCATGTCAACTTAGTCGCTTAGAAAATTTAAGTGATCTTATGTAGTGCAGTCTGATTTTCTGGTCATTCAGACAGTGTTCCAGCTTGTTAGGCAAAGTGTAAATCAAATCACAGAATCATGTTTTGTTCCTTTCATCAAGAAATTGTTTGAGTTCAGTTTTTGTTTCTGTGTTGATGTATTTCCTATTGAAAGAGGAAGTTCATATGCAACATTTTAAAGGGCTTGCCACTTTTACAAAATAGGCACTAGGTATTAGTTAAGTCACAGCCATGAACATAATTCACCATTTTCTAGTTAAACTGATATATTCCTTCTAGATGGCATTTGATTGGACAAAAATCTGTGTAGTGCAGAATGAGTCATCTGTTTCTAATGCTGTAAATGCTTTACCTAATTTTCACCTGTATCTAGATGATCTCATAACATACATGGGCTAAGTCACAAAACTCTATTTTTGATTTAATGGGATCTAAAAATATATTTAAAAAAATCCTGTCTGACTGTACTAAGGGCAATTTACACTCTTACAGCAAAGTTTGTGTGGGAAAAAGTTTTGTTTTGGTAATAGCCACTCAGTAAGTACAACACTAATATTAGTCATCGAAGTAGAAAGAAGTGGGCCGCAAAAGCATAATTCTGTGAGCTTTGAGGATGTGTGGACTCGGAGGAAATGTGTTTTTGGCTTAGGATATTGGAGAAGGATGTTTTTGCAGTGTCTGTATTGTCAGGGGCATGGGTAATTTTAAGGCAAACTTTGCACCTCTGGTTCATCAGTAAACGTAATCTGCAAAGAAATTATGATATGTAGTTGGAATGATATTATATTTCTCAACTCTTGACAATTGATGACAAATGATCCACACACTTACAGGATACATTATTTACCTTTTTCCACACTTGCCAAATTCAGGTAAAATGAGAACATTTAACCGCCATTAACATTCTTTGTCATGAAACTGTATTTGCCATTAGTTTTATGAATAAATGTATTTTATTCATATGTCAAGTCAAGTATATTTATATAGAGCTTTTCACAATATAGATTGCATCAAAGCAGCTTCACGGTATCAATCAAAACATATTAATAACAATGTTCGTTTCTTAGTGGAAAAATATCCATTAAGAATTTTATATTTGTAATTTCTAGTCCTGGTAAAGTTATGAAAATGTGCTATTCAATATAGTCCCAAATCTAGGAAATCACCTAGTCTTAATCTGCATTACTATTTGTACTCATTGTGAATAAGCAGGCCACACAAAGTAATTAATTTTTTTTTTATCACTTTTACTGACGACATGCTACCCGGCAACATAGGATTCTTTTCATTGTGCTAAGCTAAGCTAGCGGTGGCGCTGCCAGACTAAGACATATCTAAATTTAAGACCTATCTAAATGTAGGGGAAATTGAATAACCTCGATTTCAAAAAAAGGTGGAGTGTTATTTTAAATTGAAAACGGCTATTTTAAATTGTAATCATATTTTACCAAAAAAATTAAATAAGTTAGAAAATAAGCTACAGATATCCCTTTTAGTGAGTTTAGTCTCTATTAAATGCTTTTTTTAAACACACCAGTCATGATTAACTAGAAAACAAGTTCAATGGTCACTTGGTGTGGGAACCTTGATAGTACAATCAATATTGAGCACAGCCACAGGTATAGCCAAGCCTGTCAGTTTCGTTCTTATTTGACTGTTCTCTCTCTTCTTTTTTTTCTTTTTCCTTTTTTGCAGATTTTGGCTTTGGAAATTTCTTCCAGTCGGGAAAGCCCCTGGCCACATGGTGTGGGAGTCCTCCATATGCAGCCCCGGAGGTGTTTGAGGGGCAGCAGTATGAGGGACCTCAGCTAGACATCTGGGTAATACCACTCTGCACTGTCAATGTATCCGTGCATGTTCACACTGCAGTGTGTTTGACAGTAAATGATTAGTGAGTCAGCTGACCGTTGTTTGTGTTACCACCTATGCAACCTTTGAGAACTCGACTGACGTCAAAGGGTAAACCAAACACCCTGCGGTTCATGTGAGAGATAGAGATCAGATCATGTGAAATCTCTCTTGCTCGCTTTTTTACTGCCATTAAAGGAAGAGTTCACCCAAAAATTGGAAGTCAGTTACTCACCCTCAAGTCGTTTCCAAACCCATTTGGCTTTTTAACTAGGTGACATTTTCACATACAAATTCTCACTTTGTGTTCCACAAAATACAAAGTTATACAGGTTTGGGACGACATGAGGGGAAGTAAGTAATGCCACATGCCACCTGTACATTTGCACATTATAATCTTGTTTTTCACCATTGAGCTGACGCTGTGTGTGTGTGTGTGTGTGTTCCTGCAGAGTATGGGGGTGGTTCTGTACGTGCTGGTGTGTGGTGCCCTGCCCTTCGATGGGCCCTCTCTCCCCGTCCTGAGGCAGCGTGTTCTGGAAGGCCGTTTCCGTATCCCTTACTTCATGACAGAAGGTGAGACACTCTCCTAGTGCACGAAGCCGCCACCAGGAGAGGTAGTTGGCGGCAGTGGTGTTTTTTTTTGTTTGTTTGTTTTTTTGTCATGAAATTCAAGCCTGGTCAATTAAAACATTCCATAAGTGCTTGGCTACAGTTTGTGTGTGTCTGGACTGGATAAAGAGGAATGGCTCTAACTGCTCAGAGACATTGAGCAGTGGAACATATCCCTTTGAAATTAGTTATGAGGGTCCACTTGTAAACTAGTCGTCATAGTCTATTAGTGAGATTGACTGGTAGGGTTGCACTGATATTACAATTCTGGTTGATGCCAATAAGCCAATTAATTATTTACATTCTATTGATGATAAACCAGGAATTACTGTTTTTGTCCAAATATACCCAATACATTTTTTTGAAAAAATGTGACCCATGTCACATTTGTTAACGTGAGCCATGAAGGGCAGAATTGTGTTTGAGTAAAAAAGAAAGGAGAGCAAGAAAAGAAAGAGATAAAGTGATAGGGCAAAGTTTGAGAAGCTAGAAAGTTCAGACTATTCTGATGGCAGGGAGCCAGTTCATGCCAGACTCTGAGAGGGAGGGGTGGTCCGCTTTTGACTTAAGTCATAATGTCACATTTGTTCATTTTTCAAAAGCTTTGCTCACTGTGATTAAGCACGGATCAGGTAACCTGAGGAAGAGCAAACACATGTTAACCTGCCTGTCTTTCCAGGATGGCCCCTGATTTGGGGGGAGGGGGCCGGTAGTAGGGGGGGGCAGTTGACTTTGTTCAAGACATTTAAACAATTAAGCCACTTTAAGAATGTTAGCCTAAAACTCATGTCCTTGCGGGTCCCCAAAAGAAACTGTTACCCACCAAAATGAGAACAGTATGTGGGTTTCCTTTACATTTTTTTTCTCAAATGCTCTCATCACACAGGATTTCACCCCACCTCAGTCTGCTCTCAGCCAAGACTGCTTGCACACACCACACACAACATGCTTCACACTACGTCAAACATTGAATACAGCATACGCACCGTTGGGAAAGATTACGAGAGCCTAGTGTGCTATACAGGGAACTTTGGCTTATTTCTCAGTGAAGGAAAAGTACTTTTCCAGAATTATCCTGGTAGCTTTAATGAGAACACAAGATGACATGGAACATTCAGGAACTTGCACAGTAATGACATTATCTTCTAGGGCATGTAGGACAAGTTCTCTGCCCTTTGATACTTTGAGGTGAAATAAAAGTATGATTGACAAAGATTTACCTTTTACTATACTAATTAGGAGAATGTGTTTTTTAGAGAGGTGTCACTAGGGAGAATTTTAGAATTTCTATCACAAGTACATTTGAAAGTCTTTTAAAAAAAAAATCTTGTTTTTTTTTTTTTTGTTTTTTTTTAATTTAGATTATTATTATTTGTGGCAACAAGGGCGGGGCTGAGAGCCGTGAGAGAGACCAGTGGCGTGATTTTAATAATGAGCGTCACCTGTGCACCGCACCAGCCTCAAATATCACAAAAGAGATACTGAACCATAAGAGGAGGAGCAAAGACAGTGAAGAACAAAAGAGACAAAACGTTACTGTTTATTTATATGTGTGCGGCAGTCGTCCATGAGGGGCTGACACTTTTTCTTTCGTTTTGTTTTGGTATAATTAAAGTGTTTGAATGTTCGCCAGTTCCCGCCTTCTTCCCTGAACAACATACCGTGTTAAATATATTGTTTTATTATTTTATTCTTCCTTGTTATTGCCTTTAAAATAGTCTTCTGTGCTGACTTATCAAAACCAAGGCTATATCTTTGAATTTACTCCTGGGTTAATAACTAAAAATTAAAACCATAAAAAAACTAGCTTATGCTGCACTCACGCTATGTCATAAACGTAGTTTTGAGATGTCAACCCATGATATTCATACTTAGAGCTGTTCACGTCCTCGGACTTGGAATTATGCATTTCTGTGGCAACACTATCAATACTTAAATTAAATGTTGCAGTCAGGTGGTACAAGTCAAAGCTCTAAGTTGTTTACGGTCATTATAATTGTCATGTTATGTACTTTGAGAGATGAGGCAATTTAACGCCGTCTCTTTCTCTGCAGACTGTTCTGGCAGGGTGTGTTCATGTGTTTTGAAGGAGGCGTGGCTTTAGAAAGCACTCTAAAGGGAGGGTGGGATCTTATGCTTTCAAAGCTAGCTTGCTATTGCTAGCATTTTCGAAATTGCCTACCCTACCTTTAAGTGACTGAACGCCACTAGGTGGGCCTATGGTGTGATATAAAACTATTCTTTCAACAACTGTTGAAATTTTCAGTGAATAAAAACTAAAATTTTGTCTATCCCTTCCACAAACCTATTTTTTACTTTCTAAAAAGCTTACTATAGTGCCTGAGTCAAATGGACTACTTTAAGGATGATTTTTGATGCTAGACAGTTCTGGTTCCCAAGTAAATGACCGAATTCAAATTTTTAATTCATACAATTTGTCTTAAGTTTTGTCTTTAAAGCAAGTAGGGATTAAAAATCTATTAATATCAGTATAGAAATCTATCTTAAATTGAATGGTCAGTAAAGTTAATGGTGTAAAATCTCAGTTCAATTTGCATCTCAAGAACCATTCATCCTAAAATCAAGGTATAGCCAGAGTTCTTCACAGTTGTATTTATGCTTATGATTTCTACATGAATATATTAATAAGATTCACTGATTCTAAAATGAGTGAGCCGTCGGGAGGAGGATGTTTCCAACAAGCAGACTGTAGCCGTGCGACTCCCTCTCTTCGCTCTCGTGTCTCACAGGCTCTCCAGCAACCATAAATGCGACAGATTAACAGGATGAACAAGTCTCGAAAAAAATAGTCAGCAATGAGCAACAGGAGCATTAAGCACGCCCGCATCACCACCAGCCCTGTGACGTCAGTTTCATTCAGCCCAGCTGAGTCAGACGTGGTCAATAGTCAAGGACACAGGGACAGACCGAAGACCTTGTGCATTCTCGGATGACATAATGTAATTAAGGTTTGTGTTGGTCTGACAGTGCAGCATTTGTTGGACAGTTTTCTGCAGGGACTGTAGACAGATCTTTTCCTAAGCAGTGGAGGGTACAGGCTGCCACCATTGCTGAGTGTACGTATGTCTCAGATGCAGCAGTGTTTACTGTGAAGCAAACAAACTGTGACCTTTTCAGGTTGAGATTGTACAGAGCTTCTGTTCTCACTGCTGAGACAAGCACATAACTTTCTAACTGCTCCCACAATTATGATAATACTTGACCAATAATAATAATAATTTACTTATAACTGTTATCAGGATAAACAGTTCTGCCAAGACTTTTCCCCCTACAACATGCACCACTGTCCGTGTAATGTTTATCTTTTGTGAAAGAATGTCTCAAAGAAAAGCATATCTTTTCAATATACATTTTTTTTGTAACACAATCACTGCGTTGTTATTATAGTATCTCTTTATCTCTTTAAAAAAATATATTACTGACCCCAAACTTTATAAAAAAAGTTCCCCATCAATTACTGGGCACAGGACGTGTCATGTTTATCTTTTTCATTTTCCTCTCTTATGTGCAGACTGTGAGCATCTGATCAGACGGATGTTGGTGTTAGACCCCTCTAAACGCCTGTCTATAGGACAAATAAAGGAGCACAAGTGGATGTTGATGGAGGTGCCTGTGCAGCGGCCGATGTTATATCAGCAGACTGCAGAGGGGGAGGCCGGTGTGGGAGAATACAGTGAACAGGTGCTCAGGTTGATGCACAGCCTAGGCATCGACCAGCACAAGACCATTGAGGTGAGAAATTACTCTGATTTTAAGAAATGAAATTACGTCCTTAATGTTCATACAAGCTTGACTAATGGCCCTTCTTTTTAATAATTTCTCCATATGTTCTGCAGTCTCTTCAGAATAAGAGTTACAATCATTTTGCTGCTATCTACTATTTGCTGGTTGAGAGGCTAAAGGCCCACCGCTGCAGTTTTCCAGTTGAGCCCCGACTCGACGCCCGCCAGAGACGCCCCAGTACGATTGCAGAGCAGACTGTCGTTAAGGTAAAACTCTTCAAATTCCCTCTAAAAATAAAATTGTTATCAGCAGTGCAAGTATGATGTTGGCCAAACTGTTGACTGTCTCCGTATTTGTTTCTCTTCACCGCAGACGAGCAACGCTGCTCCTCAGGTGAGCCTCCTGCCTCAGAACATGCGTCTCCTGCGATCCCCAGCTATGCCTCAAGCCTCTGCGGACTCCTTCACATTCCCACAGTCCACCTCTGCTACTGAGCACAGTTTCATGGAGGAGGAGGTTGGGACTCCCAAAGTGAGTGAGAAATGGATTAAATGTTCAATTATAGGGAAAGGAACCTTGTGTTTCTCTCTGTTGCTTGTTTAGGCCTTTTGATTTGATCACGATACGATACATATCACAATACTGAACTCGTGATACGATATTATTGCGATCCTCCAAGACATATGGTAAAAGGTTAACAGAAAACTTACTGCTGATTAAAACGCTAAATTTGATATTACATTGTAGGTTTAAATGAATAGGCTTGGACTTGTTGCTTGTAACCCAAGGACAATAGTGACACCAGAATAACAATATTCATGATTCTGTAGCTGAAAATACTGAGTTATTGTAGATGAATATGCTTGCATGCTTACACTGACATATAGATATATTTAAAATAATGTCAGCCACTTTTTACTGGTAACATCAGACATTTGGCATTCTCAGAACCCACAAATATTCCCCCATTGCATTATTATACATTATAATCAACATTATATATGCTAGTTCAATGTAGTACTGACACTAAAACTGTGAAAACTTCACACAGTAATTTTTATTTTGGGGGGGACTGTCGGTATTCACGATACGTATTGTTGCATTTTTGTATTGCGATATATTGTGGCACGATATATTGTTACACCCCTAGTAGGAAGGTAGCTAGCGGTAGATATAGTCACCTTTATTTATATAGCACTTCATATAATACGGATTTTCAAAGCAGCTTTACAATGAGAACAGAAAAATGATGTATTTCGGCTGTTGTTCAGCTGAAGTCAGTTCAGCGTTGATTCAGTTCCATTGTAAAGAAGATCATCAATTATTCAATTAGTTAATTTCATCTACAAAGCAGTTCTGCAGAAAACAGTCATGTCATCACCCAGCTCTGTTCAGTTCTCATACAGCAGCGTCAGTACAAGCTGCAGGGCTGTTGAGAGGCTGGTACAAACAGCTGTTGTTACAGAGGTGAGTCTGACTTCAGTATGCTGAGTGCTCTTACACTCCTTCCCTACATTGCTGTTAAGCAACGTTAGTCCTTCCAAGGTCAGGCAGTGGGCCTGGCTGTTTGCTCAGGCCTTCTCATCATGCCCGCTCCCCGAGGAGCTTTTGTTCAGAACCATCCTGACAGACGGCCAGATCGGCTGCCAGCTTGGCATACAGAACAGGAATAACAGCACAGGAGCCGGCCAGCTCTGCCACTCGTAGCTACTTCACTCACTCGAGACCTAGTTATGCTGTCTTCATTTTTATCTGTCTCTTTGAGGAGGAGTAATCTGTTCTCTCAAAGACTCTTCTTTCACTCACACTCGCACTGTTTTTATTGCATTCTGTGTCGATGAGGGAAAAACTGATGGTTTTTGGTAGCCTTAGTCATTTTTGTCATTATGGATCTGGTGGTGAGGTGAGACGTACACTGTGAGTGTTTCCCCTTGAGGCCGTCCACAGCTGTTTGGCTTACATAAGCGGGGTCAGACTGTAGACGTCTCTGGCAGTGAGACACATTGGACGTGACAGCTGTCCATTCGCTCCGGCTTAGTCATCCCACTCTTTCATAGACTGTGTTTCATTATTTTATCATCTTCGGAAATGTGGAGTAATTAGCGTTCATGGCTTTAATACTGAACACTTTATTAGCTAATTCCTCTCTTTAACATTGTGTTTGATAAAAAATGTAAAAGAAAATCCTCTTATGGTTTACGTTTAGTTTTAGTAATTTTGTGTTTTTATTTATTAGTTTTAGTTATTTTGTTACTTTAAGGTTAACTAAATTAACATAAAAATCTTTCTCTTGGAAATAAGTTTTACATTTTATTAGGTAAAAATTTTTTTTATGGTTGTAGTTTTAGGTAATGAGATTAACCCTGTTCAAGAATTGTTCAGGTCATAAAAGAAAAAATCTGTGAGCCCATATGATTGGAGGATAGATGGGAGAACTTTTTGTGACATCAGCAAAAAAGTCATTTTTCAACATTGTGTTATAATAATAAAATAATAATAATAATGTATGTTTCCACACAGGTTTCTTAAACATGTCCCTGTGTGCTATTAGCTGAACAAACAGATAGCCCCCACTCAAACTTACTATTTGAGATTGTCAAAAAGCTATTGTCTTAACACTTTTTTGAGAAAGTGTGACCGAATTCAGTATTTTAGCATTGAAAACTCTTTCCAGTACGAGATCATCAAATCTGGAGCTTGATCTGAAAAAGTACAACACAACCACTGATGGGGAGGGGACGGCTGAGATTACATAATTTGTTCAGAGTCCGAATGATCACGTTTGTGTGTGAATAACAGAGCACAAAGATGGGCTGAAATGCAAAAAAAAGAAGAAATAATAAAAAGAGGATCTGTGGCTGGTCTTTAACTGTATGTTGGGATAACAGCATTCCTAGCCCAGCATGCTGCAGGAAACTCAACTCATCCAGATGATCCATGTTGGTTTGAGTGTGTGTGTGTGTGTTTGATGGCATGTCTCTCTCAGTGTACTCTGTCTGCATGAGGCTCTGACAGCCCTCTCAGCCAAAACACACTTCCTGTCCCTGCATTCCAGACTTCCACCCCCTCCTCTTCAGCTCACTCATTCGTTTGAACGAAATGCAGGAGTGAAAGAGAGGGAGCAATAAAAAGAGGCAAAAAGGGAGAGACTGCAGAGCTTTTGTTTACTCTCACTAAGTCCCAAAATCATTAGGGAATGTGTTCATCAAAGTTCTGCCTGTCGTACAGCACGTAAAAGTACATGTGCTTGGTGCTGACTGAGTGGAAATGTGCCTCAGGACTGTGGGTGACTTGTTAGGGCTGATTGGGAGATTAGAACAAGTTTACAGGAAATACAGTGCTGGAGGCATGTGGGTGAAATGTCTTATCTACAACACCAGTGTAATTGAGAGTTCATGCAAGTAATAGAAAGAAACATCCTGAAAAGTTGTCATCTACCAAATATTTTAAAGGAATATATAAATTGCATATACACTAGTCAAGTTGCCATTATTTTTATAGCGCTTGATACAATTTTTTCAGCTTTTCAGTAATAAGCAGGAATATAAAATAACTAATAATGCAAAACTGAATCAAATATGAGATTCTAATTCTGCTGTAAAAGCTATAGCTGATAATAGTGTCATTATTCAACTCAAGTTGTTTAGTGTGAATGTACTAGACTTCCACTTCAGAATAATAAAGAAACAACTTGTGTCTCACATTGGCTTAATATATTTCGCATTTACATTTTATTTTCATTTAAAAAAAATTACAGCCAGTTGCAATATCAAGGGAATATATTCAGGGAAGGCTTTCCATAATGCCTGCTACAGACTGTTGGATTTCATGGATGTAATAAAAACTTTTGTTGTTGACATGTATGTAGACTGTACAATGATGACACCTATTGAATTGTAGGCTACAACACAAGTTAGTATAGAAGAATAAAACATCATCAGCATACGCCTGTTGTAAACAAATATAACCAGATGAATCGCACTTTGGCAATTGTTGTTTTGATGTTCGATGAAAAAAAGAGGAGAAGTGAAAGGGGAGAATATGGACACGGTCATGGCTAGGGAAAAGAGAACAACTTGCCTCAAGCATCATTTGCAAAATTGACAATGACATTGCCAAGTAGTTTTTAAGTTTTAACACCATAATTAATACCAATGGTGGTATTAATACCATACCACCATTTTCTGTTGCATTTTGATTGGCTAGTCAGTTGACATAGGTCGCAGCTGTAGATGTTGTGGACCACTGTTTAGGAGCCACGATCACAGAAATTACCACGATTGGTCATCTTTCATCTGGGACAGCACAAAAATCCTACAAATGTGTACCAGGTGTTAGATGTACCAACATGGCTGATGGCAGTAGCATCATTCAAATACTGTTCTTGGAGGCATTGAGAACAGATAATTGACTTGTTGGTAAATTTTTCATTTTAATTGTAGCAATGCGACCGATAAGTGATAGTGGGTAGGTTGGTCCAATGTTTTAAATTATCTCCATTTTTTTTTTTTTTAAAGTGGAATATACTAAGATTATTCAACTCTGACAGTCTGGGGGAAATGTTGATACCCAAGTATGTAATGTTGCCAGTGTGGACTGGAAGAGATGGTTTAAATCACTTGTTTCACTAACTCTCACTTCTACTGGAAAAATAAACACCTCAAAATACTGTTCGCCACATCTTATTTAGAGATCTTACATTGTTTCCAGGTCAACGGCTGCATGCTGGACCCCTTGCCCCCCGTGGCCGTTCGCAAATCCAGCGCCTCGTCCCCCAGCAACATGATGGAGATGTCTATAGACGAAGGCATCGAGACGGAGGAGCTGGACACTGAGGATGATCATACCCATGTCTTCAACGCCTATCAGACGGCCCGCTTTGGTCAGCGCAGACACACGCTGTCTGAGGTCACCAATCAGCCAGGAATCGTGACCAGTGGAGGTGGGTGTGGCTTAGGGCTAACCACATGGTTATAGGTTCAAACCCCTCTTCATTGTCAATAAATCAATTTGAATAAAAATAATCTACTATTTCAAAAGTACCCTTGTAGTTAATCATTTCTCATCTTTGATTACAAAAATTACATAATTAAATGATTTTTCTTTGACAAAAAATTCTTCATGCTTTAAAATAGCTTGAATGTAATACACCCTTGCCTCATTTAGTAAATGCAGTTCTATTAGTATGCAAATTAGCTCTGCCTCCACTCACTCACACCAGCTCAGAGATCCACTCGTTGAGATCACACGTTTGTCCCATTGGTTACAAGGTTAGTCTGTGCGTCAGATTCACCAGCGATTTTAAACCGCGTTTTGAACAGTCTTATGCATTATGTTGACTTATGCATTTGCACATGTTTGTCTTAATGGATTATTAAAAACACCGCATAGACATATAAACCTCATAAAAAAAAATAAAATAAAAAAAAAACATATAAAACGCTCTATTAAAAGTTTGATTTTCACCACAGGGGACTTAATATAAATAAAAAATATAAATGTGTGTCATTTCATTCTCTTTACCAGGCTTAAACTGTTCAGTATGGGTCATAACCCCTCTCTGGGTAGCTGTGGACACCGAGTATGACATGGGCTCTGGGCACAGTGACTTCAGTCTGCTTGAGGATGCGCCCTCTCTTAACGAGGTTGTCCTGGCCAAACACACCCGTCACCCGCCTGACTCCGCCCTTCGTCAGCGCTCTCCCGCTAACCCCACCATGCAAGCGCTGAGCACCCAGAGGAGAGAGACACCACAACGCTCTCCCCATCAGCTTCCGCGAGGGCCGCAGGGCATCAGACACCTCACTCACACAAGGTGAGCAACATCCTGTGCTGTCCATGAGAATAAATAAACAAAATTCTTATTTGTCCCTACACTTTTGTGTTTTATGAAATAATTAATAGATTTATTCAAACAAAAAGACATTAAATTGATTTGAAGTGACAGTTGAAGACTTTTATATTGTTACTAAAAACTTTTGA